TTTACATTTGTTGCCCTGCCATACAATGTAGCAAAAGATCAAATACAGTTGGTTTCCTTCTCTACATGAAATTCCTACTGTAATTAAAATGAAATTATTGGTGGCTTCCTTCTCCATATTTCTTACTGTAACAAGACTCGATTGTCTATTTCCTTATTCTATCAACTTGTCAGCATAGCAAAAATAGATAAATTATTGTTTCTGACTATAGATAAAGATAAAACTTGCAAAGTTAAACCATATTTTAGGAATTCAAAGAAACTATCAATTGTGGACTTTTCTATAAATAGGTAGACATATATAATTTAATAAAAAAAAAGGTTTCCTCTCAAACTTGAGCATTGTTGTATGTGGATTCTTCATGAGCGTTGCGGGTGCTAGTGAAAGCTTTCAAAGAAAAGCTCTCATGTGACGAAATGCGCATAGATTTTTTATGACCTTTTGATGGGGGCATCGACAGGAGATTCCGGCGCGTCTATCAGAGACGACACCAGAGATCGACGGCCATGATGGAGAGCCTGTACCACTGAGGACTATTTGTATCTACATTTTTTTATTACTTATTTACTTTCAGTTTTTCCCATTTTACCCTTGTGGGTATTTGTTTTATCTTGTAGCCTAAGGGGCATAGTAGACTTTTGTACTTGTTGTCATTTGGAGCCTATTTAAAGGGCTCGTGTATCTTGTCTGAGACTAATGAATGGTTGAATGAAAATTTTCCACTTTTATGTTCTCTTAGTGAGTTCTTGAATATCTCTTGGTGAGTTCTTCGTGTGAGATCTCTTTGTGAGTTCTCTAAGTAATTTCTATCATAGTTCCTTCCACCATCCACATACTACCACAAGCAAAACCCAAAAGTTGGAAGAAGCCGAAAATCCCCTTTTCTTACCCCACCCTCGGAGCCCCACCCGCCGGCCACCATAGCTCCTCCGGCCACCTTGTCGCCGGCCATTCACCTCCCTCTTCTCCCCACCGCCACTCTTTCCCTTAACCCCTTTTGAAATTTTAGTTTCACATTCAAATTCTTTCCAAATTAGGAAAGTTTTAGAATTTTGAATTCAATTTCCATTCCAATGAAATTGAATTCTTGACGAAAACGCTTTCCTCGTCATCATCCCAATTTGGAAAACCCCTCCTCATTCTCTAAACTCCTCCCCACCTCCATGATGCCGCCGGCCCCCTTCATTGGGCTTCCCATTAATTGCCCAATTAATCCCCCTCACTATTTTGAAATTCAAACTTAATTTCAAAATAAATCCCTCCTATTTCACCTAAAACTAAAATTTCTTTCAGTTTTCATCAATCCCTAGCCCATCATTGATGCCGCCGGCCCCCTATTGGCTCTCCCCATTAAATGAGCAATAATTCCCTCCTTTAATTTGGGAATTTCAAATTAGACCTCAAATATTTTCCCTCCCAAATCTCTTAAACTGAAATTAATTTCAGTTTTCTAACATAAACTTCACCCTCTCTCCCTATTCCTACCGCCAGCCTCCCCTCCTACTCTCTACAACCCGCCGACCACCCCCTCCCTTTCTCTTCTTCCCATTGTTGGTTGCTTGTGGTGATTGCTCGTCTCCAAATCCATGGTGTATGGCGGATCCCACCGTTGATCACGGACTCTTCTACGACATCTACGGAGGCATCCACGTCTTAAGATCTCCTTTATTCGACGTCGGATTTGGCTTCGACAATACCGTCGAGGAGTACTTGGATCGGATTTTACCAACACTAGTGGACGCCGTCGACGACCAATTCTCCGACTACACGTGGATCATCAAAGGTCATCCTCCCGTGCCACCTCCACCTCCGAGTTCCTTCTCCCCGGCAACATTCATTGGCTCCTCCCTCCTCGTGGCAACCTCACTTCTAGCTTGGATGATCTTCCGCCGCTCAACCTAGTTTCGTAGGAAAGAGAGAAGAGGCCTCAAGGTGAACAACTCCTTATTAATCGTTGGATTCAAATCACTAGCTTTTAACTTTACGTTTCCCTTTGTATTGGCTTAAATTGTTTGGTTAATTTTCCGTGTAATTCCTTTGCCTAAGCAAGTGGAACACTACGAATTCTTGTAACCGATTTTAATTTGAAGCATAATTATATAAACGGTTAAGCTATTATTCAATCTCCTTTCTTAATCTTGTGTAACTCAACTCATGCATCACATCACCTTTAGCCATATTCTTTTTTTTTATCTAAGTACTTCATAATATGATTGAGATTATCAAATCTGTTGCAATCTAGTTTTCCTTTTTCACAATATAAGGCTAAATTGTTGTGTTATTTTTGTTCAATATTATATTTCCTATAAATTTTTAGATTTTGATCCTTGAATTATCGTTTGGCATAAGTTTTATATATTTCTAATTTTGCATCAAAAGATGCTAAACTTTCTATAAAGTAAAGTTGATAAACGACAAATTTTGGCTAATAGAGCCTATTGAGATGTGTCTGATAAAGACTAAGTGATATGTTGCAACTACAATGGCTAACATCATAAAAAAACTTTAAAAATTTATCAAATCATGCAAAAAGGCTTTTATTAAGTACAGGAATGGCCATCAAAGAAGGCATCAATAACATCCATTTGAACTAATGGCCTACATTGGTTGATGGCGATAGTAAAATTAAAATAAAATTGTGTTCAACCAATTGGTGAGAAAGTATATCAACATAATTTCTCTCATAAACCTGAGTAAATTGTCTGACGATTGATCATGCTTTGTATCGATAAATAGATCCATCAATATGAAATTTGATGGCATAAATTTATAGACAAGTGATTGGTTTAATGAGAGAGTAACACAAACCAGATCACATGCGAGTCAATTGAGCAATGGAACCATTTCATTATATGTAATATATTTCTACCACGGATCTGTAATGCCTCCTAATATGTCCTGGTAGAAGACACTAAGGACAATGATATAACAAATCAATCAAAACTAAGGGAAGGACTATTAACGGGCATATATGATTAAATAGGAAAATTAATTAATAATTGTTAACCTTTTCAAATAGCAATAGTAATCTAGAGTAAATAGCTCATCAAAAAGGTAGATGTTTAGCTTATTGGAACAGCTTAGGAGAGTAGGAGGAGGAGGACAAGACCATCAAGCATAAACTTAGAGAGAAGGCTTCATATAGGGGTAAAACTTCACGAATTAGCACAAGAGCAACATTTAGATTACATATACTCAATTCGGGGGTGTAAGAATAGGCATAGGGTTTATATGCAAACCCAGGTCCAAAAATTTTCAATGGAGTTCGTAGGTGAGGCCACACCGCACAGACAATCATGTGGTGAGGCAAGTAACTTAGAAGTGAGTGAGCATATTGGAGGCGCAGAGAGAAAGCACAAAGAGAGTATTTACGAGACGAGGAGAAGAGCGATCGTGAGCATGGCAACAAATCGAGGTGAGGTGGGGTAGTGCGTGCCAAGGAAGCAAGGCAAGGTGTGCGGGCACGACAAGGCTAGATAATATAAGTTGAATGCTTAATTCAGGTAAATGCGGAATTAAGAGAGGGATGGCTAGGGTTTCCCTTCAATGAAACCATATTGAGAGGAAAAGGGTTTGTGTTTCCAATCTATGATAAGATAAAGAAATATATTGTCCTAGCAGATCAATAAAAAGATATGGACAACTAGTCATAATAAGAATATTTTCAATATTTTATAAGGATAACTGATAAAGTAAGACACCATTATTTAGCTATTAAAACACAAATAACAAATTATAATTTAGTTATCAAAATACAATACAAAATCATGTGCCATGCTATTCATATAGTGTTGGCCCATACTTAGGTCTCAATGCAAGAATAGCAAGGATAGCAAGGAATCAAAATCAACTTGTGCATAAATGTTGAGAAGCTGCTTGGATTCTTCCATTTAAAATGCATGCAAAGCAAATGAGGCTGATTTGATCACATTTGCTTTGCAACAAATTTGTGAACAAAATAAATTATAAAGTAAAATAATTTCTCTTCATACACTTCACTTAAATAGACCAGCAGAATAAGTGCAATCACTTAACATCAACTGTTCACCCAATCAAACAGCCCCATAGAGGTAAATCAATGTATCTCCAACTCGTGTTATTCTTTCATTGAGATCAAAACAAATTGAATTATAAAATAATGGTTAGAACCATTTAGCATAAAAGGGCCAGTATAACAGAATGCCACATGTTGTTAAAAATACATAGGAAGCAAATTTTAGCATACTTGACATTTGATATCTCCTTATATTTACCTTTTTATTTTAATAACCCCTCAAAAAATAAACTTTTCACAACCATTCTATGCTAAAAGAAGAATACTAGCCAACTTGGAAAAAAACCAAAAGTTGCATGCGTGCATTGATTTGTTCACATTCAAGCACAGAGTAAGGCATATGCCTTCATGTTAAGAAGTGAATGTGACTGTAAGATGGAAGTCTTACATCTTCAAATAGCACTATGGGTTGATATGTTTCAGCTCAAATGGACGGCACCCCATCTAAAGAACAAGAGATCATCTACATTCAAGCACCAAAAACATAACTGTAAAGTCCCCAAAACCAGTTTCTCTGTCCATTCATACATGTTTTGTTTCACAGCAAATCTTAACACCTTCCAAAATGAAATTTTCTATTTTCTAAAACCACTCCATAGATGTGGATACATAAAAAGTCTATTCTCACACTCCAAGATAGAGAACCTTAAGTCAAGATCTCATCATCACATATAATATTATAATGGACAACCAAACAGAAAAATTATGTCCTCATACATCAGCATAGACTACCACACCATAAAGTACAAGATAAACATAAATTCATGATTTATCACAGCTTGCTTGTGAAAGGGATTGAAGACATAAGCTTGATTAACTCATTTGTAATGAGAGTAGTATAGTAAATGACCACTAGAGAATCACACAATATTCTTAACTTTAATAGAAGCATCTGTAGATTTCAACAGCAATCAGTAGAAGAAAATATTGAAATCAATATCTATACCTTGCCAAAATATTTTTTGAATTGTCTTCAATTTGCATTGTTTAGCAAAACCCTCCTAAGGTCGTCCATTTCCTGTCTGAGTCGGGCAATCTCATTCATGATAAATTCAAATTCTTCCCTCAACTGTTCGTTCTCTTGTAGGAATGCCAACCAAGCTGCCCTAACTTGGGACAACCTTGGAAAAGGAGAGGCAGAGAGTGTTGGGCCCATTCCATACGAGCGAACCTGACGAAGTTGTTTAGTACCCATGATTATAGAAACGATGGGTCAAATATGTTCTTTCTCTAGGAAAACTTTGGCTTCTCAACATGCACTTTATTATATCTGCATTAAAACAAAGAAAAGGATGAAAATAAAGAAACCAAAAAATAATTAATAGTGAAAAAAAGTTCAATGTTCTCATATTCCCAAATTAAACATGTAGGAAGCAATGTGGTATAGAAGGCCAAGATGTCTGCATAATCATAATAAAAACTAGAAAAATAGGAAACATTATATTTTAGAATGAAATATCCAAATACAATCATGCTGCATGACTCGTCCAAATGCTACTTCTTCTAGTCATGATAACAAATAAACATTGTGCTATCACATTTTGAATTTCCCGATGCCCAGTCTATGGTTCGCTTTTGCATATTTTAAAACCAACATCAATATTAGTTTCTAAATCAACAACAAACAAAAGCACTTTTCCATATCATAATTGGAAAAAATACTCTAAGTATGCTTTTAAACAGGGAAAAATCTCAATGACTTTAGCCATGAGAACGTCTATTGATTCACCTTTTACACAAAAGACAGTAATAAGACTACAAGCTCATTCAAGTTTTAGTTGCACCAAGCTGAGGAGCACTTGTAAAGCATGCAATTCAGTCAAATGCATGCAAATAAGGAAATTTATACAAACGAACTAAAAGGATAGTCAGCTATATTGCAGTTCATTGTTTTCCTGCGAGAGTTTCAAAATTAGAAGCTGAACACATTTTATAGATGATATTTTTAGGAGTACTTGGTGTTGATACGCTAAGCCCTATGCATGGCACCATCATAAAATTTTGAAAATGCCTTATTTGAATTTATTGATGGTGCAAATACATTCCAAATACATTGTTAGCTACTTAGCTTTTCACAGCCCAAACCAAATTTAGAAGACAAATCCAACGGTCATTGCTAAGTGCTAAACATGTATGGACCCAGGTCCCCAGCTCTTAAGGATGACTTACTTCACTAAACATGGCTTACATTTCTTGCTTTCTCTAATTTAGACGGGAATACCTGATCCATGAGAAAACCTTTACAAACTAGAGGCTATCAAAATTATATTAAAAAATCATAGCCGTGTAGCTGCGCACGACTAAATGCAAATATGAACAGCTCCTTCAGATCTCACTGACAAAGGCTGTTATACAAACTGAATTAGCATGAGGAAATCCGAAGATTATGCGATCAATCTTCAAGTTCTAAATCTCTAACAATGACGAGACAAAATCCTTCCTAAAGAACAAGGTCATCGTTCATATATAAAGCTCTCAACGTTCGATCAAAAACTTTCAGTGGACTTGACATTCGCATTTGACATAATCTCGGAGGCCCGATCAACTCCACACTCAAAACAAATATGATAAAAATATGGTAAATTTCATAATCCATAACAAAGAAAACGCAGAAAAAAAAAACAAATAAACATTAAAGAGATAAAGAGAGAGAGAGAGAGAGAGAGAGAGACAGCGGCCATTGGAGTTACTGAGATCACCAACCTGCAACAAGTGGCAAAGGCGGAGGTGGAGGTGTGTCATCGGCTGCGGCGTCGGCAATTCTTTCGCGAATGTCGAAAGGGACTAGGACAGAATCAGAAAACCCTAACGTGCATGAAGCGCGACGCGAGGAAGTACGAACAGAGATGGAGCGGGAGAGAAAATAGGGGGGGCATGGAACGAACTCAATGCACCCAAAGAAATACCAACAAGACTTTATCCCAAACAATGTTAGCGTGTAAAAATTTAATGTTTCATAGAATTATTATCTAAATTTTTATATTTATAATTTAACTATATAAATATAAATATATATAATTAAGATAAAAAAAATATTTTTATATAAATTTTAAAAAGTAAATTTTATCTAACTATTATGAAGATTTAAGTGCTTGATATAAAAATACATTAAAAAATTATGATTTGTATGCAAATTACCAAAAAAAAAGAGTTCAAAATATTGAGTTTCATAAACAATGTTAAAATATATTCAATTTAGGATGTCATTGACTCATTACACCATCAAACGAAGAATAAAAAATTAATTACTATCATTATATAATATTTTAATATATATTATTAATAAGTCACAAAAACTTAATTTGAGCATGTACAAATCTTGAGGCATATCTAAATTGAAAAACTTCAAAATTAAACTCAAGTCCATCGAAATTACAGTTTCATAAAACTTGTAGTTAACATGAACATCTTGGCATGGTGAACCCGACCACACAAAAATTGGTCAAATCTGAGCCCAAATGGGCCCAAATCAATAGCATGGAGCATATTTGGAAGCTTCTAGACATTGATTGATATCAAATGATCTCTAAATATTTCATGCTTTTAATCAAATTGATCTGACTCAACGAGACAAATCCAACAAGCTTAAGATTGCTTCATTCTAACATCATTAAGACACTTAAATGATTGAAGGGAATCAATAAAGACTGTCTCATAAAGGAATGAATCTCCTCTAAATCTTCTCTATATTTATGGGACATGTCACTCTAAAAAATATATAAATAGACCCTCACTTCTCATATAAAAAGAGGTTGGGCCTTTCAGACTTGGTGTAATACCTCCGGATTTACTATTCAATTTAACAAGTTTTGGTCCAACCTAAGTAAAATAAATTATTAAATTCGTTCATTTGAACCTTTCCAAATGTGTGGTAATGTTTTGGGTGCATGTTAAAGTTTGTATGTGTTCTAAAGCAGGTCCTGATGGTTTGTTTGCATGTCTGAAATTTTTTAGACTTTCCCCCTAGGGCGTCAGGGCGCTGTGGTTAGAAACGCACCCGCGAAAGTGCTCTCCGGGGCATTGTGGCCAGTGCCATGATGCTATAGTAAAATTTTATATGAAAATATTTGAATCCACTATTCCATTTCATGTAATTCATTTTGGGTAATGGGCTTAGAGAGAAGAAATTTAGTGAGAGAGAATGTCTATTTTGAGCGACTTCAATCCATTTTCTGCTTCCAGACCAATTCTAAAAAGTTGTTTAAATCGAGATAGGTCACATGCTACCTATCCTAGTTTTAAAAAATATAGAAATTTCACAAATATTTTGATTTAATTTATAATTTATCTTAGCAAAAAATAAAAATAACTTTCTATACACAACTTTTACGATGTAACCTTTTACATATCATAGAGTGATGATTGTAAGCATTTAGGTATTTTTTGGGGGATTCTTATAAGAATGATTTGACTATTTTAGTTTTCCTTATGCTTGCCTTACAATTTAGTCTACATGAGGATTGTTATTGTTTAAGACAACTTTATTACTACTTTCTAAAATAACTTTCTAGCACAAAACTTTTAATTCAAAATATTTTTGAACTAAAAAGTCGCTTTAAAAAACAATAATAAAGTCATCCCAAATGAAACTTAAGTGTGTCTAAAGAAAATATACCATATGATAAATGTTGTATGGCTGGTTATTTGTCTTTAACTGAAGGTTGTTAACTCCATAAGAGAAATCAGTGAAGTCATAATTTATGAACCAGCAAGGCCTGGTGAGGGAAAATTACTTATTTTTTATTAAAAAAAGTATAAGAAGCACAATGCACTACCCATATTTCTACATAAACATGAATGAATAGTTTATTAATTAAGGAGTTAGTTCCAAGGATATATAATTTTGATTTTAGAAAAAAAAAATCCTATGATTAATTTTAATTTTGATTAAAATTTTAATAATAAGTACCAAAAAAAGTAAATAATTCAATAAAATGAAAATATGAACTTAATTGTTTCCATAAAATAAACAAGTATTGTAAAAATTAAACAAAATCTGACATAGTTTGGTTTGCTCATTAAAATTCATGTTCGCTTATAAAATTGTAAATGAGTAAAAATATCATGTATGAGCTGACTATGAACATGATTTCATATAAAAATTTCATCACTTACCACTATTTTTTGTTGCATGTGGCATTACATATGATAACAAACAAAATATAACTCACAAAATTTAATTTTGAGGTTAATGGTGATATAGGGAACTGGTTACATAATAATTTTTGTGGATTGATTTCTTCAAAATGTTTTTCAAAGCCCCAGATTGCCTTGAAACAGACTGTTATGATTGGAAGTTAGCTATCAATATAGAAAAAGGCAAACAGAGTAAACCTTTTTTTTTCTTTGTGCAATTGATCCAAGCTTTCTGTCTGAAACCGGTTTTGTTTATTTTGACAAGATAGTCAAATCGATTAGTAAAGCTGCACGATTACTGAAAATTTATAAATTTATAATCATATACCTTTGTTTGATAACAAAACTTTTCATTTCTACAGGCTAAATGATGTTTGAAACCAGATTCAGAGAAGCATTGCCAAAATCATAGAACGTATCCAGATCCCATAAACAAGACTTTGTATTGCTACAACAGACAAATTACACATATTTATATCAATATAACATAACATCCGCAATAAAGTAGTTTCTATTGTCTAATTAGTTGGGAGCAAAGAGAAAGCAGCGAACGATCTAAAATTCCTGGGACAGAGAGTTGTTTTCCCCCTTCCCCTTGGCTTGCTTCTTCGGCAGCAAGTTCTGGTGAATATTTGGCAGTACTCCGCCATTAGCGATCGTCACGGTTCCAAGAAGCTTGCTCAACTCCTCGTCGTTCCTTATCGCAAGCTGAATGTGCCTAGGAATAATCCTACTCTTCTTATTGTCCCTCGCCGCATTTCCAGCCAATTCCAAAACCTAAACGAAAATAAGTTGAATTAGAAAAGCGAATCAACATTCCAAGGTCACCGATCAAGGAATCAATCATTTACCTCAGCCGCAAGGTACTCAAGAACGGCGGACAGGTAGACTGGAGCACCAGAACCAACGCGCTGGGCATATCGGCCGACCTTGAGAATGCGGGCAACCCGCCCGACGGGGAACTGAAGGCCAGCCTTCAGCGACCGGGAAACGGATTTGGTTCCGGCGGCTCTTCCCCTGCCGCCCTTTTTCGCCACCGCGGAGCTCATTGTTGTTGAAACGAGAAGGATGAAGAAACCCTAACCGACAAAGGTAACTGTGAATTGGTTCTGGAATTGTAAGGGAGAAGGAGGACATTTATAGGAGCGGGAGGGACGCGTTCGAAATTGATAGTAAGGACGCTTATTATTGGTTGGAGATGATTGACGAGGATTGCCAGCGTGGATGATCTGGTTCGAATGAAAGGTTGATCTTGACCGTACATCTTGTATGCCGTGGAGCGTTCGTTTCGTGGATGGGGTCCATGGGGAGGAGGGATGGGGTGGACATTTTGGGATGGTATTTCTTTATTAAAAATAATATTTTTAGGAGGCAGAATTTTAAGAGGGTATATATTCCTATAATATTTAATAAGGAAATTTACATACCATTCTATTTACATATCTAACACTTAAAACTTTAATATTACATGCATATCACTCTATATTATTTTAATATAAAATATACCACTTATATTTCTTTCCTATCACTCATATATTTCATTTAATCATGGGTAACCAAATAATAGGATTTTCTGAAAGGTATACCTCCCTCTTTTTTATTTTTGAATATTACAAATTACATTATAAAAGAAATCAATTACATTAATTTTTGAATATTACAAATTACATTACATTAGAAACAAATTACATTTCCTAATTTCTATTTATATATTTCCTCTTTGTAAGCATTTTTTATTTTCTTCCGCAATATTGTTTGAAACTTAGATTAATTAGTTCTCAATTATATTATGATTGTTGTTATCTAACATTTTAATGTAATTATATTATTAATTTAAATTTTATTCGTATGGGATCTTCTATTTTAAGGTTCAATTGTTGTAACTGGTTGAACCTTAAATTGATCGCATCCTCATGATTGCTAAGATTATCATGGATAGTATAGTTAGATCTCAAATTTGCTTGTTTATATTTATTTTATTTTATTTCTTGTAGGACCTTTACTTGTTGAGATCGAGCAAATAACATGCAAATTTGGATTTCGTGATAACTAGCAAGTAATTATTATTTAGTAATGGATAAACATATCTTATTTATTAAGGGCATTATCTTTATTACATGTACTAGGTTTCTTAATATCTTAGGTTGGCAATCTTGTTTTCAACTTCATTTGTTATTTTGCATATGTTATTGATACGTCATAAAAAATTATTTTGATCAAGCACAAATCTCGATACAAATATGAGATTGAGGCTTCCAAAATAAAAATAGGGACCATCCAAACTCTGATTTTAGCAAACTTATAGTCATCTGAGTGAAAATATTTTGAGTTTGTGTCGTATTTGTTTCTCAATCATGATATGAAAATTGATAAAGATTGATGGCACCTCGGATTTGCATTTCATGGGAAAAATCTATAGAAATATGAAAAAAACATCTATGAAAATGAGATAATATCGATACCCTTAATGTGAGGTCATTGGGGTTGGACCCCATACATCAGAATGAACTAGTTCTAAATGAACAATAGAACTTGAAGTAGAAATAGGAAATTTCAATTTGTGGCCCTTGGCCATTTTACAAGCAGAGCACAAATCAGAAGATGTGGGTATTTTGAGGTGTTTGTTTGTATTGGAGATGGTTGCCATGGTGCGGGTGTGGGGATAACCAAGTCTGTTGTGCCAGATGGCAGCAATTTGGTGTTTGTTAATAGCGGAGAGAGCTGAATGTTGATGAGTGCTTGAGAGGGTTGGGATAGGATAGAGTCTATTATGGCTTAGACCCTGCAATAGAGTTTTGTTGGTCTTGATATTCTTGACAGTTAAACCAAAAGCATTGAATTAAATAGTTATGTTGTTATCTTTGTAGGACCTTTACTTGTTGAGATCGAGCAAATAACATGCAAATTTGGATTTCGTGATAACTAGCAAGTAATTATTATTTATTAATGGATAAACATATCTTATTTATTAAGTGCAATATCTTTGTTACATGTACTAGGTTTCTTAATATCTTAGGTTGGCAATCTTGTTTTCAACTTCATTTGTTATTTTGCATATGTTATTGATATGTCATAAAAAATTATTTTGATCAAGCACAAATCTCGATACAAATATGAGATTGAGACATCCAAAATAAAAATAGGGACCATCCAAACTCTGATTTTAGCAAACTTATAGTCATTTGAGTGAAATTATTTGAGTTTGTGTCGTATTTGTTTCTCAATCATGATATGAAAATTGACAAAGATTGATGACACCTCGGATTTGCATTTCATGGGAAAAATCTATAGAAATATGAAAAAAAAACATCTATGAAAATGAGATAATATCAATACCCTTAATGTGAGGTCATTGGGGTTGGACCCCATACATCAGAATGAACTAGTTCTAAAGGAACAATAGAACTAGAAGTAGAAATAGGAAATTTCAATTTGTGGCCCTTGGCCATTTTACAAGCAGAGCACAAATCAGAAAAATGTGGGTATTTTGAGGTGTTTGTTTGTACTGGAGATGGTTGCCATGGTGCGGGTGTGGGGATGACCAAGTCTATTATGCCAGATGGCAACAATTTGGTGTTTGTTAATAGCGGAGAGAGCTGAATGTTGATGAGTGCTTGAGAGGGTTGGGACAGGATAGAGTCTATTACGGCTTAGACCCTTCAATAGAGTTTTGTTGGTCTTGATATTCTTGACAGTAAAATCGAAAGCATTGAATTAAATAGTGATGTTGTTATCTTTGGTTAGGTGGCAAATATAAAGAAGATTGTGAGATAGTGTTGGAATATGTAGAGTTTTAGGTAATTTAAGCTTACTGTTGGGGGTCAGTAGCAGCCCAGCTCCAGTGTAAGCGATATGAAGTGTGTTGCCATCTCCAATATTATAACATCGGTTCCATTGTGTGGGATGGGATCACGTAATGTTAAACTGTTGATGTCATTTATGACATAAGATGTAGCACCATAGTCTAAATACCAGTATGGGTTGAAGTTGTGGTTAGTGGTTGTTAGAGCTGTGTTAGTTTTTTGTGTTGGAGGATTGTAGTTTATATTGAATATGTGCCAACAAGTTGTGGCAGAGTGTCCCTTCTTGTTACATATTTCGCATATGGGTATTGGTTGCGTTGTGGATCGAGTAATATGGGATATGAAACGGCCTTTGCCTCTTCTTCCTCTATCTCTTGTGGAGTATAATGCAATATTTTGATCTGGGAAGTTAGGTTGTCTAGCTGCTTCAACATTGAGATTGATTTCTTCACTTATCAATAATGCATATAGATCATCAAGACTAATTGGTTGCACCATGGTGCAAATTATACTTTTGAATGATTGGTATGCTAGAGATAATCCATTCAATGTATATAGAATTATATCTTCTTTGTCAATGGTGGCACATGCACTTGCAATATTGTCAGCAAGAATCTTAATTTCATTTAGATATTATGCTATTGATTTTTATTTCATTGAAACATTGTGTAATTCATTTTTGAGTTGTATAACTCTAGATCTGTTTGAGGCTTGTAACCTTCTTTCAATGGCAGTCCAAATGGCACCAGGTGAGTTTAAATGAAGTACATAGGGTAAGATTGCTGAGGTTATTGTAAAACAAAGGTTGTTGCTAGGTTCTGATCAATCAGAACCCATTTTGTGTGTTTGGTATTTATCATGGATGGCCCGTCTGAGGCTTGCTGCAGGTGGGGTGGTGGAGATGTATTGGGATCTATGAAATTGGTGAAGCCATTTGCTCTCAGTAGTTTTGTTACTTGGGATTTCTATTTTGGATAATTATCATTTGATAATTGGGTGGGTACGATAGTTTTGATATTATAAATGACAAATTTCAATGATGGAGGTATAACACAAGATTTTGTGGGTGAGTTTGTTGTTGGATTTCCAAATTGGGAGGAGGACGATTGAGCCATGAGAAGATTTTATGTGACTTAATTACCTCTCAATTTGATCTACTCCAGGAACTAAATTCTCTTAGTTCTGCTTGCTCCAAGAACCGTTGCTCTGATACCATAAATAGATGACAAATGCGTGATAGAAGAAAGACATGGAGTTATTATGAGAAAGCAAGACTTTATTAAAGTCTAATTACACTTGTTGCTGATTCTTACTTATTATATGATATTATAGCCTTATGATGTATACACTTGTGGTTGTAATTCATTGTGCTTGTTACAGGTGAATGGTGGTGATTCAATGTTCGTGTGAGCTGCGACTGGACTCTTCTCTATGTGAGCTTCGGTGAAACTCGTCTCTGTGTGATTTAAGATCATGTGTTCAGTTATGTTGCAGCTAATCTCATATGTTAATTTAAGAAATATTGTTGAGAGGTTAATTCCCTTTCTCTATGGTTCAATTCTTCACTGTTACCACTTGTGATTGGATACTAATAATGGATACCTCGTCTCTTTTGGTTATCCTATAGTGTAGTGATTGCAATTATTGAAAAGGAGAGAGCAAGAGAAAAGATTAACGTGTAAGAATAGTTAACCTAAATTTTCATATAGTCAACCGAATTAATTTGTTCTTTGTTTCTAAAATTTTTGGATTGTTCGTGTTTATGTTATGCTCTTTGTTGACATGTTTAGGGGATTTAGTAAATTATGTACATCCAGATTTAATAAATCTTGAAGCTTGTTGCGGGCTAAAATATACGCGACGATAGTAATTATACGTCTTAGCGTTGCACGGATATCTAGCTCACACACAAAGAACATAAATTTTTTGTTTGCATGGAAAATCTGGGAAATGGAAAAAAATCATGGGGTTTAGCCCAGTTGAAAATGATTATGCTAAAATTATAGCAAAGTACAATGGTCTTACTCGTCCTTGAGGACGATTAGATTACAAATGTCAACTGAAAGTCTTGCAAAAGTTTAGTGACACTCCAACGTCAGGTGGTGGTCCGACAACACTCCGGTGTCAGACGGTGGTCCGGTAGTGGCACTTAAGCGTCAAGGGGCACTCCGGCTTTGGGTGGCACTTCAACGTCCTTTGATGGTCTGGTGGTGATTCAACAGAACTCTGACATCCCTTGGTGGCCCGAAGGTGGTGCGACAAAGCTCCGGTGTCCCTCGGTGGTCTGGCGGTGGTGCGGCAAAACCCAGTGGTGGTGCAACAGAACTGCGGCGGTGGTGCGACAGAACTCCGGCGGCGGTCGAAAAGGAACAAGGCAGTTGGAGCTTTCTTCATTATCTTCCTTCTTCTCTCTTGGCTTATCTTCATAGTAATATAATAAATAATTTGATAATTAACACCTAAATAATTTAATGACAATTATATAACTAATAACTAATTATTTAAAATATTCTTACTTATAGTTTGATTAATTGTTTAAGTATTATTTAGTTTGTTTTAATTATAAATTCAATTATTAATTATCTCATTAATCACTAAAAAAATCTAATACTCATTAATTATTTAATTATTATTCAGACAATTAATTGTATATTTAATAAATTTTATTTAAAATTATATTAATTAAGTTAATTATATTTTTTATTTATTAATTATAATATTAAATATTTAATTAAAATATATGAGATATCAGATATGTTATTAAATGCATTAATTATGCTACTAACTATTTACTTAATTATTAATATTTTAAATTATATTAAGTAAGTGAATCTTTTTATGATCTCTTTTTCGTCGTTGCTGTTCGGCTTCGTTGCTTAGAAGTGGTGATTGCACGAATCACTTATTCGGCTCCTTCATTGTTGTTCGACTTCGCTCCTTCGACGACGTTCCCTTCATGTCGGATCAGAACTTACTATATTTTGATATGAAGCAATGACGCGAGCTTAGGTCGCGTGTTGACGGGAGCTTGCTCTTGCTCGTTGCCAAGGTATCCATCTTTCTCTCTTTCGCGCGCTTCTTTGGCCAAATTCTGTTAAATCCGCGGAACGACGGGATTTACATTTAGGCGGATTTACTTGGATTTACGCCGTAAATCGTAAATCCCGGATTTAAGCAGGCGTCGGATTTACGCGACCTCAAAAAACTGTTTGGCTGGATTTAGCGTAAATCCGACTTAAATCCCGCTGTAAATCGGATACCAAACAGCCCCTTAGGGTTAGTTTGATGCTGTCACGCCCCTTAAGCTGAAGAAGGTACATATCGGCACCCGCCACATGCCAAAGAAACTTAACCCGAACTTGCGAGACATCTCCATTGGTCAAGGTTAAGTAAGAAGGTTTTGAATATTAGAGCAAGGAGTTGTCAGGGATATTGTAGTGGTTTAGTTATCAAATATTTTCAGTAGAGTTTTGAAGACTACAATAATGCCAAATAATTGGAGAAAAATTATTTCAATAAATAGATAAAGATGATATGTAAAATTGTGCTTAGTATTGTGCCAAATTTGTTAGTCATACAATGAAATACCGAGTAGAGTAATTAAATGTAAACTTTAAAAAATTACATTAATTTCAAAGAATCAATTTGGTTTCATGCCATAAAGTTCTGCTATGAAAGAGATTTTGTGTTAAGATAATTAGGGGAGAGTTATACAGTAAGAATAAATGATCTTCTCTTGATTTTTATTTTTCCTTAGAAGGCATATTGTGGTGTGCCATAGGAATTGCTTTGGTGTGCTTTAAGGCATAAATGTCATGTCAAATATATGTTCAAAATATTAAAAATATGCATAATGGAGCATCAACTAGTTTTAGAAGTAACAAGGGAGTAACATAAAAGTTTCCAAATATTGTAGGTTTGCATCACGAATATTGAATCCATTCCTTTTTGTGTTAGTTTTGGAGTTTTAAAATGACATTAGAAGCACGATATATCAGTATATATTTTTGGTAGTTGATATAATTATAATTTGTTATACATCAACTAAAATAAGTGAAAAATCATCACAATGGAGGAGATATTTAGAATATAGAGACCTTAAAATTAGAAGGTCATAGATTGATTATATGATATGCAATTTTAGTGTTATGATGTTAACAATTATCATTCAATATTACTAAAATATATTGTGATAATTAGGTGTGATATGCTTAAGTCCTCTTTGTCTATTATATATATATATATATATATATAATATATATATATATATAAATATACTTCTTCTTAAGCGACATTGAATAATTAAATGATGAGATTAGAATTTGTGTGATAAGAGGACATCATTGGAGGCTTGAAGATAAGTTTTATAAATCCATGACTAGGTTGATGATGTTTAATGGATTTAAATGTTAGTTTGTTAAAAAGTGATTGATATATAAGTTGAGTGTGATATAATAAAAAATTTTAAGATAGATGTTTGACAAGCTAGGAAGGATAAATCAATGGACGATTATATTAGAGAAAAATAAATTGACATCTATTGAAGATATGATGATTGAAAATAGGCTTAGATGGTTTGGAGAAAATATGCTCGTTAGATGAGTTTGGAAAAATCAGTGTCTCAGAGGATTTGGAAGGGAAATATGTAGCTCTAAAGTTATATGGATGGAGTAGTTTAACAAAATTTACAAAGAATGCATATATCACGCCAGAGAACACTAAGCAAGTTCTACTGGAAAGTGTGGATTTACGCCAACCCCAAATAGTTGAGATAAGATTAATGGAAAGCGATGAGTACAACAATACGAACTTAACAATCTTGTTTTTTTTTGTGTGTGTGGTGGGGGGTAAAAGGGAGAAATTGTTGATCATTGTTTAATCAATTCTTAGTAAGGTAGTGGCCGACCAAAGAAAATTCTTGCATGGATCTATCAATTAGCGTTGTTTCAGACAATTTTTGGCACTTAAACGCATCATCATCATTTGCCTAAGTTGGATTATGAAGGGTTGGCTGTATGAATCATTATTTTCCATTTGTTCTTGCTTAGTGCCGTGGTAAGTGTTGAACATATTCATTGATAGTATTGATCCTCCCTATTGATGCATGCTCTACCCTTTTTTACATGCTCAAATCACCAGATCACCTGAATATATTTTTCATCATCTTATCTTCAAGAGACGCTACTCCCACTATTCATGTTATATAATCGTTTCTAAATCTATCATCTTTTGTTCTTCCACTCTCATTCTAACATTTTATTTTCATTCTAATATTTTATGCTTCCATTATAATTCTAACATTTTCTTTTCATTGTAGCTGGTCCCATTGCAATTTAAGAAAACTCAATCATTTAATACTTCAGTGCAAACATAAGCTTCAGTTCTTTTCACAAAAGTGACGAGAGATTTATGCAAATTTCCCTGGAGAAGATCGATTATTCTGTGTAATAACTTTTGTTATATACTTGTCCTCAGCATAGAAGGGTGATCTGGTGAGAAATATAGAGGAACTTTACAATGGCTCAGTCGGGAAGCAATGTGAGTTTACTTATCATAAGTACATCAAAGGATTACTTGCCATCTAAATCCAAAGTGCTGACGCTATAGCTTTATTTTGATACTATTTCTTAATTTCTATAGCCCGTCGGTGTTGACAACACTTTTAGAAGAAAATTCAACAGAGAAGAATATTTGGAACGAGCTCGTGAAAGAGAGCAACAGGTCCACTCTAATACTTGCAGCATATTTTGGCGTCAAAGTACTTTATTGCTGGGTTAACTTTTGTCTTGTTTGTGACAGGAAGAGGAGGCTCGAAATAAGCCTAAAGGCACGTTTGATATTCTAGTTCCTAGGTTTCTTTAGTATTAATTTACATTTCAATTTGAAAGGATAATTTATACATTTCCCCAATGAATTTATGGTAACAGATTACAGCTTTCCTTATATTCAATTTTAAATTTCAGGAAAAGCTCCTCCAGTCCAACGAAAGCCTTTAAAACACCGAGATTATGAGGTTGACCTTGAGTCACGGCTTGGGAAGACTCAGGTTATAATGCTTTTCTATACTAAAAGCGTATTATAGCTGACTTATGAATTTTGATTTCTTCTGAATTATTAAAAGCCATGTAAAACTTTTTAAAACATAACGTTCTGTGACTTTTGCGTTTTGCTTGACATTCAGGCAAATTGGCCTGATGATTGTTTGTATTTGTTTGACGATTAGCGGACATTGTAAGCTGAACAACTTTTTCTTTTCTTAAAGAAATATATCCCAGCTTTATGCTTTGCAAAAGAATTTCAGAAATCATTGTGCTATTTATTTATATTTTAAGAAGCTCTTTTCTAAATGGGTTGCAGGAAAAGCTAGTCATCATTTTATTTAAATTACTTTTTTGTTATTAGCAGTATGGAATGCTTTATCTTTTGGGCTATTCAGAAGGGCTTGTAAAATTAAATATTCTGTATGGCGCTCCAATTACCATTCTGCTTTCATCTTTACTGACGCTCAAAGTTATAACAGGTTCCATGATATTCAAAAAATGCTAACACATTGTACCCTTTGATTCTTAAACTTTATTTTGCTATGTTTATATAATTTAAAGTGCAATATGCATGTTTGGGTTGGACATGGCTAGTCATTGCATGTATCAAACATGTGTTGTGCTTAATATTGTAATTTGGATATTTTGGGATTTAGAGAGTTGGCTTAGATCTTAAGCATCTCATTTGTAGGTTTGATATTGGCAAGAATTTGTGAATTTGTTGACTGAAGTTTATTCTAGCTCGTGTATTGAATTTAAAATTTTTTAGGAAAAACTATACAAATAATTATGGAAAACCAAGGATAGATATAACTACAAAATTGTTACAATCGTAAAGCTTATAATGCTAAAATAACACCAGCAAATGATTAGCCCATAGATGCATTTGTACAGCCTGTGGTGAGATAGAAAGTCTTCCCGAATGGTGAGGTGGCCAAGGCGTAGTGAAGGATGGATGCGCGAATTGGTTGTTGCAGCTGTTGGTCTAGCGTGAAGGGTGGATTTCCTGCAAAGGGGCAAGATTGGCAACTGATGTGTCTGATGGAGGGGAGCATGTTAGGAATCCCTGCCTCTAAGTTGGACTTACTACTTGGAAGAAGAGGAACATCTAATAATCAGTTTTATGACCTTACTCTATCAATAAGGTGGTCCTACTAATTTTGGTTTAGTTTAGTAGACTTGATGGCCTTGTGCATGCCCGTTCAATTTAGTAAAAATGGGGCTTATATATATTGGAAGAAGTGTAATACTTCATTTATATTTTGACTTGTGTTTGTCATTTAAAATTTGATGATTTAAAGTCTAAGAGCTGTTTTTCTATTTGCAAGTTGCTTAGAAGGCTATAGCTTATACATCTTTGCTTTTGGCAAAGCCACATATGAGACTTACAACTCACTTATTGAAATTGACAACACAGCTCGACCCATATGGTTGGTCTTAAAGCCTCGTCTTGTATGCAATGTGGCTCGGTGGTTAAGTTGGTTAATTTTGGTTTCTATTGTAGCAAATTTTTTAGCATGCACATTAAAGCAATTGCTCACTATGACACTCCTTGGATCAATCAAAGATAGTAAGATTGAATTGGATTTTGTCTACTTTGACTTTTCCTTTAGCTTAAATAACATTCAACATAATATTGTATGAGTTAAAAAGCTTATCAAGATAAGCAACTCTAAGACAAAAATCAAATTTCATAGAAATTAAATTATACTCATGAACTAGTTTTGTGCCTTATCTGTAATCCTTAAAATAGTATTACCTGAATAATAAATGATTTAACAGTTGTTGATATATCTAATTAGAAACAAAACCTTTAACATAATGCCAGAGCTTAACATATCGAAAGCAATGCATTAAATATGTGTATATGATTCATCATGATGGACCAATCTTTTCAAAATTTTAGTTGTTACATAAGATAAAGTTATTTTTTTCTGCTTTACAATATGTTATGTATGTAGAAGTAGGTTTATTGGCTTTCATAAGCTCAAAAGTTACATATTGATGATCCTTTTGCCTCTATAAGGCCCTCCTTTGTTGTCTTACCTATACAGGTTGTCATATACATTTTAATTTGAGGACCTTTTTACCTCTATATGACATTTCTTAAGCCCGTTCTGTTCAATTTTATTCCGTTCAATGTCATTTTAAACATTTAGATATATACATCAATTTCTTTTTTTATAACCTTTTAATTTGAAATTAACAAATAAGTTTTTACTTTAGTATAGAAAAATATTTCGATACATATAGTTTATGTCAAGATCTAACCATCAAGTTTATGCTCAACTGTTTCAAATAAATTTACTTTTTGAAATAAAATTGAGTATCTTGCCCAATTGACGATTACCACAGGATCAGTTTCTTCATTATGATTATCGCATAATCTAGTTCTTTTATAAACAATCTACAAAATGAAATTTCTTAATTTGTAAAAATTTTCGAAATTATAACTCAGTTTAAGTCAAAATAATCCAAAAAATACATTTTTACCTCAAAATAACTTCTCATACAAACATCAAAGCCTACTATTTTGATTCGAAGTTTTTTTGTTAAGAAATTCCAAAAAGATGGATTTCTTCAACAAAAACCTAATTTTTTCAATTCTTCTTTCCTGCTCCCTTCGGTTTCTCTCTATTTTCGACTTCTAGGTTGGCTGGAAAGTTGCAAGAATAGGAATGGAATGAGGAGATGGAATAAGGACTGGACTTCCAAGTTTTTATATAAATAAATATTGTTAAACATTAGATGAATTAACTAATCGAAGTTCTTCGTACAAAAGTAGCATCCAATGCATAGGTTTAATGTGGAAATTTAGTCGGATTTTCAGGAAAATCAAACTTATGAATAGTATTACTAAATAGCTTAGTTTTAATTTTGTTAGCGAAAAAATTCACATAGGCATGAATATTTATATGCATGTATATCAAGTTGATGAAAATAAAATTTAGGATTTTATAAAAATAATATTTATCAATTTTGAGAGGTGCGAAGTATGGGGTGTAAAATTTTATGATAAATTTTTGAATTTGATCTTTTTAAAATTCTTAAATATTACACGCTATTTCAATCTTTTGATATAGGTTCATGAATATTTCATAACCATTTAATTTATTGTTATGTTTTTTTTTTCAATGTTTCGTACTGAGATCGGTGCTCTGACATGAACATTAGCAATAGAGTTTTTCTAAACGGTTTTTTAAACCATCCATAAGAGTTCTTTGTTTCTCAAGTCTTTTTAGGAATGTCCTGCTGTCTTGCCACCCCGTCTTGAAGCAATCTTCAATATTTAATGTGTTGGCATAATTTTATAAGATAGTAATGTTGAGTCAACTCAGCCTGATTTGAAATCCTGAAACAGAACTTTCTTGGTTTATATCTGTGGAAATATGTTTTCCAATAGAGTAATATAGAGAGAGTTAATGATGCTGATTGAATCATAATTAATTGAAATAGAATAGAATTTATCTTTCTAAAATTGGCATCATTTTCATCATTCTAAAAATTAAAAACAAAGTCTTCCTGAGACAGTGCTGTGAGAGATCCAGGGATAGGAAATTTACTAGAAAATTCAGAGGCCTTACGTTGAGATGTGTATGGTATAGAAGAACTTATTAGAACGAATCCAAAAATTCTTAGGAATAGTTTTAATGTCGTCAACCTCAGCCAAAACCAAGCTTCACGAAGAATAACTTTAGAAATTGTGTGCTAGTCCATACAAATCAGTTTACTATATCTTGAGATCATGCAAGAGGAAATCAATTCAAGGAACATAAGGGCAAACAGTGCAAGCCAATCCAAACATTTTTCAAATGAGGGACATTAGCGCTCGCAATTTTATTATCCCATTTTTTTGCCATGATAGTAAGGCCATTTAGTTTGATGCATCCTATATGAACAAAAATATTAAGAATTTGTTTTAAACATAATCTAACAAAGAAAGAACCCAGCTATATGAAGATGATTGAATGAAATCATGTTTATTTCCAGTGTCAATTGAGGGATTCCAAAAGTTTATATTTCCTGATTCAGTAATCAGAGGCAAATAGAAATCTAGCATTGCAAGAACAATTTACCATCCTCAAGTTCTTGCTATAAAGGCATACTAATAGGAACAACATCCTTTCAGCAAATTAAGGACAATATTTGGAAGAATTACCAACTTTCTTACGAGCAAAAGCAAGTAACAGCGTTTCTTCCATCCTTGATAAGGTGACCTTCATCCAAGATTAAGGATATTATTTGGAACAACTTAGAATGCATAACTCGAGATCTTGATTGATACGTCCTTAAAGGCGGGTAGAGTTCCCCAAGGAGAGGATTTGATAATCACTGCATAAGACTTTCCACCAGCCACAGGTGAATTTGTCTCCCTTTCTTCCTTCTTGGTTTATAGACTTGGAATTCAGATTATTTCTCCTCTTTAGAGATGTTGCTGGTATTGGGTGTCACAGGTCTAAGCAAAATAGTAGATTATGAGATTCAGACAACTGATTAGAAGAGATAATTTTACATTATAAAAACTAAACAATAATAAAAAGACTGATATAACTAAAAGAAAAACCAAACACGGAGACTCATGGAATTTTAGCTCTTACAACAAGTTCAAAACTGCAACCAAAAGCAAGCATTAAAGCTTGGTTTCAATGTGAACTTTCCATTGTAGATGAACAAATACTATAGCGTTCCTTAGATTTCATTAGATGTATGAAGTAGATTAACGTGAATCTACTGAATAGTTAGTGTTCTGCAATTCCTAGTTGCGCAGTTTTTGAGTTTCCCCTGTAATTTCTTAGTTGTTACAGAGACAACCTGCATGCTATTATTTCTCATGTAATTTCTTGGAAGTTGGAATCTATGAGATTCCTTGTGATGCCTTTTTAATTTATAGATTGTGATTTTTTTTTTCCTTTGATATTTTTGGCATGTAACATGTTTCATTTGCTCTTTTTTTGCTGCAGGTTGTTACTCCAATTGCACCATTAAGTCAGCAGGTGATTGTTGTCTCCTTGTTTTTTTTTTTTAATCTTTCCTATATTTGCGCAATATAAAGTAAACAAGCTATGCCACCCTGCAACCACATAGCATCTGAAGCAAATGATGTCTTCTTTTTATATATTATGTCGTTGAGCCATTTGCTTACTTCTATTTATTGTCTCTGTTATACCATTGTACTTCCCACTTTTTACCTCTGGATGTTGATTCAGTTGACGTCCAAGAAATGCACGTCTTTTTCAACTTATTTACATGCAAAGATGGGGATCTTTGCCCGTTGGGTTATGCAAATCTTAATAAGCGAGAATGCGGTGCTTAGTCCTTTGTTTTCTCAATTTGATGATGCACTATTAAATGGACAATTCACGTCTTCCGTGGTGCTAAAAGTTGTGACCAGAAACGGTTTTTTGCTTTACTTGTGTTTTAACAAGTTGAAGGTAAAAATCGTGTCTTTTTTTTTTCTCCATGCAGGCTAAGTTACCCATGTTTGATTGTATTTGTTTTTATCCGATATATATATATATATACCTATTTTTATAAATGCATTTTTACTTTTCACCTCTAACTTCATTGGAAAGCATTTTACAGGCGTCTAAGGTTTACTTGTACTACTATGTAAGTAATCAACGTATTAAAATTAAGGATGGAAAGTTGATCTCAAGGATTCAGTTTTATGGCTTCAGAGATCTAATTTTAGAAATGCATTTGTTTTTTTCACCTCCAACTTCATTGGAAAGAGTTCTACTGGCGTTTAACTGGTTTAAGGTTTACTTGTACTACAATGGAAGTAATCAATGCGTAAGAATATGAAGAAAGGAAAATTGAGCTTATGGATACAATTTTAGCATCAAAGATTCAGATAATTTAAAGTACCGCAGTTATGCTAGAATTATGTTCTAGAGCTGATAGAGCTTCATGAGATGGAGTCAGGGCAACTTTTTTTTGTCACGTGCCTTGTTTCGATGAAGGTGGTTAAGACTGCTAGTGCCAATCAAGTCAAAGTATAAATTTTGGCTAATACTCAGTGAAATTTCGTACGAATTACTGGTCAGACCCAAAAAAACTTACTTTAGCTCTGATTAAGTATCCAAAGTACAAAGGAATTGCCTTGGTGTTCAGTTCAGAAAAAAAGCAGGTAACCAAAGTGCCCGAAAAATTCTTTAAGTCCTGTATGTCGGTCTGATTTCTTACAACAATTGCCAAATGCATAAAGAGAAGGCCAGGTTTGATGTTTATCAAGTCAAGGACAAAGTTTCATCTCTACTTCCCCTTTTATTTAAGGGAGAGCCCTTGAAACGGATGACCAAAACAAATCCACTCTTCCTATTTATACGAGTCCTTGGAATTTGGCAAGTGGTCTTCTTTTACTTTAAAAAAACTGCTAGGTTAGGATTACTACTGACATGTTAAGTGAACTGAAATTTCTTAAGTGTCCAGGAATTTGGCAAGCAATTTGACTTTTGATCCAATAACATATCAAAACTTGAGGAGGTATGAAGCTCCCAAGTCCAAAATATTCTAATTAGCAGCTTTAACATGAGTGTATTATGTGCTTTGCCACCATATGTGAGTCCGGATGGACTGTTGCCTACCCTGCGTAGTATTGGTGGATGGTGAGGCAAACCGCATTATCTTTTCTAGTTTCTTAACATTGGTGTAACTCCAGATGGCAAAAACTTGTACAAAGCATGCTAATGTGTGAACTTAGAATTGCCAAGTCTCGTTTAACCTGTACTTTGATATTCCAATCTTAAATATCAGAATATCAAAATCATTTCAACACCTATTCTAACTGTTCACTCCTTGTTTTGTACCTCGAGATGCAACCATCTGGTAAGATTGCATACTAGAATGGTTGTTCCCCTCTCCATACCAAGAAATAATACTCGCTGATTCAGCTTTCACGCATTTATCATATCATGTTCGGCATTAATTAGCCAATTGCATAATAGTAGCTTGCTTTGACACTAAGACCTTACATTTAGATTCTTATTCCAGGTTAAATTTTTGTTCCCACCTGCAAAATTTCTTCATCGTTATTCCTAGAAATTTCTGTAGTACCATAAACTTCACCGTAACTTTTTTTGTTATTATAAATTTCCATCGTATTTGGTAGTATTGTACTCCATTAGTTCATGATAGTGTATTGAATTTTATTCGAGCTAGTTGCATTATGAACTTCAATCAGTATTTCCTTGTCAGATTTTTTGTTGCCTGAAATCTCAATTCTCAGAGTTAAGTTGATATTGTGCAGGCTGGTTACTACTGTTCAGTTTGTGAGTGTGTGGTGAAGGATTCAGCTAACTACTTGGACCATATTAATGGAAAGAAACGTGAGTTTCCTTCAGTTTCAGCCCCTTTTGTTCAACAAGTAGTTACAAATCAGGAATTTTGTTGACCAATTGCTCTTTTTTGCGGCACAGATCAGAGGGCTTTGGGTATGTCAATGAGAGTGGAGCGTGCATCTCTTCAACAGGTTTGTCTATGTTTTTAAATTGCCTTTTTTTAAAAAAATTTAAGAGATTGAGATGGGCTATGCTAGAAACTTTAAAGAACAATACTTACTTTGTTGGTGGAATTTTGACATTTTGTATTTTTAGATGTGAACATTTTATCTTGATGTCATTGAAGCACAATATGAGGATTTATTGATGTAAAGATGGTTATGGTTAGTTCTAGGACCCCTTGTATACTTTTTGCTTTTAATTTTGTAATGCAAAATGCAATTTTCAAAAAATGATTTTGAAAATGTTTAGATCTATATATTTTTCGTAATGTAATTCATTGTATGTGAATTACATTTGAACATTGGCAAATAAGTGGCACTAGAGTTTTATAACTTCGTCATGTGAATTACGCCAAAGCTCAAGTGCTTGACAAAGATTCCTGTATCCATGTTTGAATGTTGGTTTGCATTTCTAATTAGTCCTAAAGTTTGATATTGTTGACCACTAACCACCAACCCACTCACCCAAATCACTCATAACTCCCCAGGCACTTGATTTCACGAAACTCCTGCACATTACAGTAGTCGAAATAGGACTCTCCCACTCAAATCCTCTTAGTTGATTCGCACGCGGGCCCGGACAAAACCCCCGCTCCCTCTCGTTCTCCATCTGCTGCTGTCGCGCAATCCGATCACCCCACTTCCTCTGGTCTCCCTCAGCCACAGGCAAGAGTCACCCCCCATCTCTCACGATCTCTCCCTGTGTTGAACTCAGCGGCCCTTCTCCCTTCACTCTCTCGAGTTCTCTGTGTTGCACGACTCCAACCAAAGCATTGCATGCATGAATCACCCTAGGAAACCCTAGAAGCCCGAGTCCGTCTCTCTCATTCACTCGATTGCGTTCAGAAGACCTAGCCCACCCGCTTGTCCCTATCGTACGACTTCGACCTCACACGTGCGTCCAACCTCTCATTCCAGCCTCCAACTCAGTTCGTAATTACTCAATCACTTTACTTGATCGAATCACGATCCTTTGTTGTTGTCCTCATGCTTTCTACCCTAAAATGTATAAATTTCTTTCTTGTTTGCTTAAACAACAGGTAAAGAAGACCCCACGTCCATCATATCTTTAATTCGACTGGGAGAAGAACAATAACTAAAGAAGACCCCATGTTTGTTGTATCTTTGATCCGGGTAAAAAGAATATAAGAACATACGAAGACCTCTTGTATGTCGTTTCTTTGGTACGACTTGGAAGAACAAAGACAAATGCTTACGCAACGTCTCACTACGTTGGGGTGGGACGTCAAAATTTTAAACAATTAAGGATTCCCTATATATATGTGTTATTGCAATAAGTGGTTATGATAGACCTTTCTAGCCAGTCCATGGCCTACAGCATGCGGAGGCCTGTTGTTCCGCCTAATCAGCTGCTGGCCCCATGTGGGCCCATTGTTTGAAAGGGAAACATTGATTTTTGGCAAGCTTTGATTAGGGGAGTGGGCGGTTGATTGGTGGGGCCCATTGCTTAAGGAGTAAGAGGGAGTTTAGACATTTTTTTTGGGGGGGGGGTGTGATGGGTGATTGTTTTAGGTACGTTCTGATTTAGGTGAGGGGCTAATTAGGCTGATTGGTGGATGTTTTAGGTATGATCTAATTTAGGAGAGGGGCTAATTAGTAATTGATATTATTTTTTGTATTTTTGTATGCTATTAATAGAGGAGAGGGGTTAGGGTTGGGGTATCTTGTTATTGTGCTGAGTTTGTTCTTGTGTTTTTGTGTGCTTAGGCTCTAGTGACGTCTAGTGAAGTAGGAGAGATAGATACTCCTCTATAATTGAGGATCAATTGTATCTTGTTCTGTTCTTTAAGAGGTCATTTAATACTATGTTGTTTATGCTACTTCCTTTGGATTTTCTTTCAAAATTGTGTTGGCAAATTGCTAAAATCAATCATTGTTAGGTTTACTCTTGAATTCTACAAGAGTTTCCTATCAAAGTGGCATTAGAGCTCTTTTTAATGCCTCAAGGTATGGGTATGGGGCAACACTCATACAAAATTACAAACCCATAGCCTACTTCAGCCAGGTGTTGTCAACCAGAAGTAGACTGAAGTCAGTGTATGAGAGAGAATTGATGGCCATTGTAGTTGGCTAGTTAGAAGTGGCGGCCATACTTACTAGCTCGACACTTTATCGTCAAGACTAACCAGCGGAGTCTGAAGTACTTACTGGAGCAGAGGATGGTGACCGAGTAACATCAGAGATGATTGTCAAAGTTGCTGGGCTATGATTTTGAGATCCATCATAGGTCAGGGTTGTAAAATAAGCGGCTGACGCCTTGTCTAGGCGCATGCATGAACTTCAGGAGTTGGTCCTTTCGATACCACTGTTGTTGGATTGGGGGGGGGGTAATTAAGGAAGAAAGTTCGTAGGACCAGGGGCTAAGAAGAAACAAAGAGGATTTGTTGAAGGTTGAGAGTAGCCATCCTGCCTATTCCCTGGATGGGGATAGAGTTCTATACCAGGGAAGGTTTGTGCTACCACAAACCTCCATTCATATCCTGCACTTGCTACAAGAGTTTCACAGCAGTGCTGTTGGGGGTCACTCATGTGTAGAAGATATACATGAGACTGGCTGCTGAATTATATTGGAAAGGAATGCATAAGGACGTAGAGGAAATTGTGGCAAGGTGCGAGGTTTTTTAGAGGAACAAATATATGGCTATGGCTCCAGAAGGGTTACTACAGCCATTGGCACTCCCAGACAGAGTATGGGAAGAGGTCTTTCAAAATTTTGTTGGCAAATCACTAAAATTAATCATTGTTAGGTTTGCTCTTGAGTTCTATAAGAGTTTCCTATCAGGTTCCTTTTCTAATGGAAGGAGACAATTTATGGCTTGAACAATTAGCAAAAAGGACCATTGTAGATTCCTTATAATTGCTAAAAGTTTCTTACAAAAGCAAAGTTTAAAACTTGATTACTTCGTCACATGTCTAACAAAATACATCCAATCTAAACTATATTAATTTTTGCTCAGACGAGCTCAAATTCATTCAACTATTTATTATACACAAACAATCATTAATGTCTTGGTCATCATATGTCACGACCCGGCCCGGAGGCTCAAATTAATGACGCTGGAATAGATGGTCGGACGGTTACTAAATTGTTAATTACTAACTAATTATTTTCAATAAGTAGAAAGAGCCACTAAAATCTCAAATTTGAAACAAATTGAAATAAAATTATTTAAATACCTTTCATCCAGTGCATCGTGCATATGATACACATTTTCACCTCTTATGCTCATTTTAGTTAATTGAATTGTACATGTAATTACTTTTTTATATGAAGAGTGAGTCATAAAGAATTCAATAAATAATTCATGCTTCTAAACTACAGTAACTCAATGTATTTGGAACAATATGCATGATCATTTTCCAAACATAAAATAATTTTATTTTAAGACTTTCAATAATATGCATATAATATTATCCATATCTTAGCCATATCATCATCCTTTCTCATAAATAATTCAACCTTTTTCATTAACGATCAGGGGTACATTGCATCCCCAGCTAGTATCATAAAGGGTGTACTCCATCAGTCAATATACATATACAAGCATTTTATTTTAATCATATTATTTATCTTCTTCAAATCATTTCATATTGATCTATATAATAAACATCATGTCATATAATGAATGATATCTCTATAATATTAAATTCAAGTCTTCCAGTTCAATATGATCAATTGTTTTTGGTAAAGAAAATTCATATAACATTAAATCATAGAACATTAATAATAATCAATTAAATAATCATAGTATTTGATGCATCATATATAGGAGAAACAAGTATCACTATTGTAATTAAAACACACGAGTATTCACCTTGAACTTAAGAAATTCGTTGCTTCACTTTACTTCTTATTCCAATGACATCAGATTTAAAGCCTATAAAAGATCACTTCATTAAATTTAATTAATTATTTTCTCTTAATTTCTCTAACTTAATATTTTAAACTTCTTATCTTTTAAAGATTTAAAGATCACTTAATATTGTGGAGGAAGTATTAGAGGCATTAATGGTTCAAGTTGTTATTGATAATGCAAGTGTATATAAAGCTGTAGGGAGATTTTTAATGGAGAAGAAGAAGCCATTTACTGGACTACATTGGCTATGCACTGTATTGATTTAATGCTTGAAGGGCTGGGACAATTACTTCAGTATAAATCAACCATACTGAAGACTAAATTTGTTAGTAAGTTCATTTACAATCATTCTTGAATACTTCGCTTAATGAGAAAATTTACTGAAAAAGAAATTATTTGACATGTTATTAGATTTGTGACTATATATTTAACTTTGCAAAGATTTTAGGAGTTAAAGCAGCTCTTAGAAGCTATATTTGCATTTAAAGAATGCGATGAGAGTTCGTGGGCCAAAAAATAAGAAGGAAAACAAGTGAAAAAGATTGTAATGAAAGATGATTCATTTTGGCATAGTATAAATTATGCTTTGAAGATAACAAAATATTTAGTTAAGGTGCTAAGAATGGTCGATGGTGAGAATGACCCTAGTTATGGGATTTTCTTATGAAGCAATGTATAAGATTAAAAAAGATATACCAAGAGATTTGGGCGGTAAAAAAGGTGCCTACAAATATGAAAAATTATAGATAAAAAGTGAGATCACCAATTACACAAACTCTTGCATGCTGCTGCATACTATTTAAGCCCTCAATTTTATTTTGATAAGGAAAACAAGTGAAGAAAATTATAATGAAAGATGATTCATTTTGGCGTAATATAAATTATGCTTTGAAGATAACAAAACCTTTAGTTAAGGTGCTGAGAATGGTCGATGCCTTGATGGTGAGAAGGCCCCAGCTATGTGATTTTTTTTATAAAGCGATGAATAAGATTAAAAAAGATATACCAAGAGATTTGGGCAGTCAAGAAGGTGCCTAAAAATATGAAAAATTATAGACGACAAGTGAGATAAGCAATTACACCAACACTTGCATGATGCTGCATACTATTTAAATCATCAATTTCATTATGAAAAGGACTTTCATTTTAATAAAGAGGTAAAATTTGGTTTATATGCATGCATGAATAGGCTTGTTCCTGATGCTAACTATCTCAAAGTGAATGATCAACTTAAAGATTTTCATTTAAAGAAGCAAATGTTTAGATTTAAAGCAGCGTAAGCATGCTACAAAATAAGATCTCATGGTATGTTTATTGTTTATATATTTATACTTTTAAATCTTAATGTTCATGTCCAAATTTCCTACTTAAATCTGTATTCATAATATATTTTTATTTTAATGTAGAACGTCGATGGGCTCAATTTGAAGATTATGTTCCTAATTTAAAATTATTTTTCGTTAAAGTTCTTAGTTTAACATGTTCGGCTTTTGCATGTGAGCGTAATTAAAGGACATCTTCAATCAAATTCATACAAAAAGAAGGAATCGATTGGCTGAAGTACGAATGAACAAACTAATATATGTTATGTTTAACAATATAATGAATGATGGATATTTCAAATTACAGAAGCAAGGAAATCGTGATAATGAATTGGACCCTCTACTTATTAATGATTTACAATTTGATGGTGCATGGGTTACTCCTAAGGGTGATGTTCCTGAAGTTGAAGTTGAAGTTGAACTTGAAGGAGAAATTCATATCAATGAGGACAATGAAGCAATCACTTTAGATAATGAAAGGTCTATTGAATTGATGTTATCTTTTATTTCCCAAGTATATAAAAGAAATAAATAAAATGAGATTGAAGCTTCAAAAAAATTTAAAGGTAATCTTAAATATAATGAATTATTTTTATATTTTTAAATTATTGTTTCATTTTAGAACTAATGATATGTTAACTTATATAGGAGATAAAGGAAAAATATTATAGATGAAGAAGATTTTGAAGATGATTTTGACATAAATTATTATGATTATTCTGAAGACAGTCTAAATGATGATGAGATTGCGTTGGGTCTTAATCTTATGGCTGTGTTTTACTTTTGAGCGAGTATTTATTTTGAATTTTATGTTTCAGTAATATTATCTTCAAACAAATCATCATGTTCATAATTTACTTAATATTTTATCATTTTTTTTAAATTTTAAAGTACTTTATTTTTTTCCATTTTGAGCCTTATGCCTCGATCCACCTCGAGTCTTACTTCTCACCTCGCTTAGAAAAAAACGCCTCGATTCTCAATTTCGCCTTTTAAAATCTTGAATAGTAATAATGGACATCCAAGAAGAAGATTCCTTGATGTGGACATCAGTAGGAGATTCCAGAATGTCTACCGCCGGAAGCATCGTAGATCTACGGCTACGATGAAGAGCTTATATATTTGATATTTTATGTATTAGTTCAGATTTTCTTTATTTTCGTTTGTACCCTTGTGTGTTGAGTTGAGTTGTAGCCATATGGGCATTTTAGTCATTTCTCTTCTTTCTCTATGAGGCCTATATATTAGATCCTTGGTCTTGTATTTGATGATGATGATTATGAATGAAAAATTCTTGCTTCTCTTGTGTGATCTCTTTGTGAGTTCTTGAGAGGAGAAACCCTAGGAGAGGGCCTTGCATCACCCGTCAGCCGCCGGTGGATTATGAGACTCACGGTTCTTCGTTTGCTTTACCTATCATCGACCACCTTTTCTTCCCTCCCACCACCGCCGGCCAATCCAACCCACCTCCACAGACCGACCTTTTGTCCCAATCTCCCTCTAAGCCGCCGATCACTCCTCACCCCATCCACATGCCGACGACCACCCCACCTTCACCCCCCAAACCGCCGGCCTAGTTAGCCCTAGCCCCACAGCCGGCCACCCCCTTCCTATTTCCCCTTGGATTATGAAATCAATCATCATTAACACCCACCTAAAATAGTCTAATTGGTTCGGAAAATATCTAAATAATTTGAAATTCAAATTTCGAATTTAAAATAATTTCCTAAACTAAGAAAGTTAAATTAGGAAAGTTTATAAATTGGGATCTAATTTAATTTTAAAATAGATTGGTTATTCCTATTTCATCCCTAATTAATAGGAGTGCATTAGGAAACTATTAAACCCTTCCCAATCTCCCACCTATTCTCTCTATGCCGCCGACCCTCCCCATGCTCCAAATTTTTGAATTCAAAATTTGAATTCTAATCCTTCCCTCCACCCTAATTTAATTTTCTTAATTGATTACCCTCCTTGGTAATTAATTTTAAAAGAGAATTTAATAACCCTAATTCTCGTAACCCATATTTGAATTTGAATTTGAATTTGAATTTCAAATTCTTTTCCCTCCTCATTTAATTAAATCTGAAATTAATTTCAGATTTAATGTTCTTTCCATAACCCCAAACCTAGACCCCACAAACCCTAATTCCCTCCACACTTGGCCGGCCCTCTTGCTTGCCCACCTTCTTGGAATTCCTCTCATCCCATGAGCTCTTTTGCAAGAAAAGAAGTCAAGTATATCTTCCCTCCGGACATTGGTGGATCACCGGTCGTCTACACATTGGCCCTCTTCCGGCTAACTTTCATTGGATCTCTACCCCGGCTTCCTCTCCTTCGTGGTGGCATCTTCCGAATTGTGACGATTCTTCTTCCGCTAACCCTTAAAGAGTGTGAATGAGAGAAACTCGAGGTGAATTATCTCTTTGTTATGTGGTGGATTGTTTGTTTGTTGCACTAGTTTTCATTATAATCTTAATATTATTTTGAGATATTGTATTTTATTGTGTGATTACTTGCCATATCTATTTAAACAATTTTAAATTCGTAAAATCTTTTCAAAGTGAAACATTAAGTTTAAGTTGTGATGCCTAATTCAATCGTTATAAATTTCTATGTGCAATTCCGATGTGGTTTCACATCATTCCTACTATGGACACTTGCGATGTTCAATACTTTGGAGAATCGTCTAAGGGATCCCATTTCCAACCAATTTCATCCTCTTAGAAAAAGGTCAATACTGACCTTAAGTCCCCAATTGAAGAAATCTTCACATTGTGTGTTGAACCAGAGATCTATTGGAAGCATCACTAAAAAATACGAGTACAAGAAAAAAATAATAACAATGAGTAAATGAGCCTAGAGAGCAATTTGATAGAATTTTTCGAGTTCATAGAAGGTTTCAAATTCAATTTGCCCAGCAATGCATGAATAGAAAAAAAATTACAGTCATTCCCCCAGATTCACCAAACTTCAAGCATGACATTATAAATGGGAGTTTATGAGATTTTCTTCTTCTAGTACTTTGTCCTATGTCACAATATAATCTTTATACGTTATAAATGGGAGTTTATGAGATTTTCCTCTTCTAGCAGAATATACTTTGTCCTATGTCACAATATAATCTTTATTTTTATTTTTCATATAAAAATTCTTTGTAATTGTTTCGTCTTATATTTCATTGAATGGTTATAAGATTTTGCTTCGGGAAAAAAAAAAAAATTCTTTAGATCTTTGTGTCATGACGTTAGTCATATAATGTTTTTGCTTACATACCTAAGTTTTTGAGATCTGAATTATATGATATGATTATAGGTGCAAGATCGGTTTGATAAGCTTAAGAAGCAGAAAGTAGCTGGTAGCTTTTCTGAGCAAGGTAAGGACATGAAATATTTGAATAAACTTTCTTTGCACTATTTGGAAGCTTCTATAGGAGTTTGTTAGACTTTTTTCAATGTTTCACAGTATTTGAACTTTATTTGATATCAAAACTAATAACTTCTTTCAGACATGTGATTATATGATCAATTTAATAGATTCCATTTTTTTTTTGTGGAAAGAATATTTATATGTAATTGATATGCTTTTCCCGTCTAAGATCTGGATGATAGGATAATGAAACAGCAGCAGGAGGAAGAAGAGCGCAAGCGGCAACGTCGAGAGCGGAAGAAAGAAAAGAAGGTAAAGTCTTCTTCACTTGTGTTTGATATTTAGTTTCTAAATTTTGTAATAGAATAATTAAAAGCTACTTTTCTTAAAGATGTTATTAAAAGAAGTTATCCTGTGTAAGCATAGTTAAAGAGTGAGTTGTAAAGTTTGTGGTAAACAATACTCTTCTGTTAAATTCTTAAGGTAAATAGTTCTCTGAATTTGTTACTCGAAGAACTATGGAACATCACCACAACTTTCAAACTCATACTATGTGCGGCAATTCCCACAAATCACCTTGTATCATTTGAGCTAAAGAATAAGAAAATGATGCTTGCGAAAGAAATGCAATGAGAACTGTAGTTTGTCTAGAGCTTTTGTAGGCAAACTTCACAACCAGCAAAATTAAAGGTTCCTATGCTATTCCTTCTAGATTCTTTAGGGTTTATTCCCTATTTGTATTAATTAAAATTTTTATTGAAGAACAGAGGCGAGCATTTATCAACCGCAGGAGGCAATTCTACTTGTTTGTGTGATTTGACATGCTCTTAAGGTTTATATTGTAGTGCGGAAACCCGTGAGACAGAAAACTTGACACCAAATTAATGGAATGTTAAGAGTAAAGGTTCTTATGCTATCCCTTAGAAGATGCTTGAGGGGTAGGCCCCGACCTCTAATTAATAACAACTTCCTTGAAGAATAGCTGCGACCATTTCCTTGCAGCTGGAATCAGACTTCTGTTTCTGTGGTTCAACATGCTCTTAAGGTTCATGTTGTATTGTCGAAACCTGTAACAGAAAACCTAACACCAATTTAATGAAACTCCACATAATTGGAAGTTCATTTAAATTAACAGCTTCAATTTCAGAGCCTATTTGGTTCCTTATTTCTGAAGCCAGGATCTAAGGAACAAACTTAAGAAGTTGGGTCTTAAGGAAACTTTCTTTAGCTGGATCCATATATCATTGTCGGGCTAATTAACATCCTAAAACTGATTACTGTCACGACCCGGCCCGATTAGCTCGCAAGTGCGAGGCGGGAACAGAGATCGGACATAAAGAAGATAAAAGAAACTTTACAAGACAATTAACATAACTCCAAAATGAAGCATCAACATAAAGAAAGAGCCACTACAATCTCCAAACATAAATTTTTTCTTTTCTTTTTTTCAAAAATCACCAATCGATGGATTTAGCAATAAGATTACAAAAAGATACAAAAGGGGATCCACAAGTATAACCTTTTTCTTTTACATTTTAATTCTAATATTTCAATACAAAACATCAAAACAAAAAAGAACCTGCCGCCCGTCGTCTCCCTACGACGGTAGGTGCGCGGTGGTTGGTCGGCCATTTACCCCTTCATAGATACTCCTGAAAAGTATTCCCACAACGAGGACGAGTCTTATACTCAATAGGTGATAATGGAAATTCAATTAAACTTAAAATCAAGAGAGGAAACTATAACATGCTTTGAGTATTTTAGCAAAAGAATCATCGATCATAAAACAAGTTGTGCTCAAAGAAAAGCATACCTTTACCTCAACTTTCAAATGTTTAATCCTTCCATAACCTTTCCTTTCTTCTTTTTTAAAACATCATGCCTCAAGGGATAATCTCAATTGCATGTAACATGTGTATGAAACATTCATAACAGTTTAATATATATATATATATATAACCCGTCTCATTGTACTTTTACATAAAGAGAACTTTTGCATTTGCATCAAGTGTCCATAAACTTACTAAGGAACATGAGCCATAATAGTTTTCATAATGAGCATAAGGGATTTGTCACTTCAATGTAATTGCAATGAAAGAAAATTTGTTTAAAATTCATAAGAATATCCATTCCACCTACCTCAATTCGTACACCACAAGGCGAACCTTCAAAAATCCTTATGCCCCCCTTTTCCTCTTATGAAATCAACTCTACAAATAACAAAACATAATATGTAAACATAAGTTTCCTCCCTCAAACCTTAAAAAAAAAACCTAGGCAAAGCATGTAGCTAATCAACACATTAAGCATTGGTTTCTTTCTATTAAAACCCCTCACCTAAACCATGCTAAATCCTCTTTATCTTTACTAGAATTAGGATTTCATCCTAACTCTAGCTTTTGGAAAACCCCAACTATTAGGGCATGCAAAAACTTCTTCTAAAAAGAATCCATCTTCACAAAAAGACTTCCTAACCCCAATTAGAAACTTTTCTACAAAGGCATTTTAAGAGAAAATCAAAATCGAATAAAACCCTAGATTTCAAAGATCCATATTTTCATAAAAACTAAACACATTAGGGTTTAGAAACATCACACTACCCTTCCCTAAACTTTTCTCAAAGAAAAACCATGTTTTCTAAAAACCCTAGAAATCTTTTCATCCAAAAATCTTGAGCAAGAGATGGAAAATCATTGTTCTAATGCATACCTTAGCCTTCCCTTAATCTCCCCTACGATTTTCCCCAAGTTTGGCCGCCGGAAACCGCCGCCGGAGCCGCCCGATTCCTCTCCCGTCGCCTCCACCCGTGCGCTCCCCTCTCTCCTTGTCCGCTCGGTTTGGGCAAAAAGACCGAATGAGGGGGAGAGTGGGGGGTTCGGTTTGCCTAATAAGGAGTAATGGGAAAGGCCTAAAGACCTAATTGCCCTCACTTAAGTAGATTTGACTTAAGAAAGGCTTAGGGGTAGTTTGGGTATTTTTAAACTTCTAAAAATTATATCTCTTAATTTAAGCGAAATTGAATACAAGTTCTATATATCAAACTTCTTAGAATTTTGCGTAGAATTTTTCAAAATTATTTCCATCGAAATCCGACAACCTCGAATTTTTTTCACTTAAATCTCGTCGTGGCGCTTTGAAAAGCGTGCGAAGCCTAAAACGATGTTTTGCGGGTTTTACAATTACATACTGTGAAAACACCAAAAAGGAAGAGCTGATGGCTTGGCAGTTTTTTTATAGTTTTTTTATGATCTCCATCTTTTTTCTTTGCTATCTTTATTAATTTTCTCTGACCTTTTCTTAATAGTTACTTCTTTAGATGTTCTTATAACTTTATGGATACTTTTATCCTTGTTAATTTTTCCTCAGATTGATTATAGCATTTCCACCTGATTCACTCAAATTATTGTCCCTATATCCGGTACTCAGACTTAAAAAGCCAAAAACTGTGCTGCCTTATTTGTCTTTAATAAAATTCAAATCAATTTTCCATTGTGTATGCCCATCAAAGATAGGGTTGTATCAATGATTTCAAATTGTGCATCGAGTTATTTGAGTACTTTGGCTCGAGCGATATTTTCTAAGGTAGAGATCTCGAGTTCGAGGCCCAACGAAGGCACATGAAGGAATTCTCCATGCCTGTTTAAATCTATAATTAGCTTTATGTTCACCTTATCTTAAATAAAAATATTTGGATTGATTTCTATTCTTTATAAAAAGTCATCATTATTATTTAATTTTGGTAAAAGCTGATTGTATCTAATATCATATTCATGCTCTGATTGTATTATTTTCCCACTTTTTAAACAGGGCAATTATAGGTGATATATGTATACTTGTATCAGTTATTATACGTTAGGGATGCCTTGCAGCTTCAACAATCTTCTTACTCTCTATTTTTTTATTTGCTTGTCTTTAATCAACTATATTACAATTTTACAAATCAATTTATTCCCTACATTTAAGTATTTAACATCTTTGTCACAATATTGATTTATTCTTGATTTTAACTTATTCCAATTTGACAGTACAATTTTAGTTTATTTTTTTATGGATAGCCCGCCTCTTTTTAGTCTATATATCTATTAGTTGTTTGCCCTATCATTCTCTCCAAAATTTGAAATGCCATCCTTGATGCCATTGCCATTTTGTTATCATATGTAGACTAAGGCTTTGTTTGGGTCGGCTTTCTTACTGCATTTACTGCTTTAGTTTTTTAATACAAAAATTAAAAACTTTGTACTAAAAAGTTGCTTTGAGAAGTAGTAAGAAAGCCGTCCCAAACGAAACCTAATTTTTTAGTTGCGGGTTGAGTAAGAGCTTTTGAGAGTTTTTTTATGTTTTCGATTGACTTAATTTGTTTCTTTATAAAAGCTTCTCATTTTTATTTAACATCTGAGGAATTAGGGCTTTAAAAACTCCATAAACCAATTATAAAATAAATCTACAATGGTGATAAGAGGATGTAGCCATCAATTAGGTGAACATGTATAAATTCACGGTGTGTTTTGTGCGTTGATTTTGGCTTCGTTTGGGATGACTATTTTACTGCTTCTTAAAGCAGTTTTCTTGTTTAATTTTTTTTTTGTATTAAAAAGCTGCTTTAAAAACAATAAAAAGCCGTCCCAATTGAAGCCTTTGTTTTCTATTTTTCTTTTTTTTTCCCTTGGTTATTAAATTAGATTTCACCTTTTTTTCCACACATTTTAGGTATCTGTGTGTGAAAAGCCACATAAACTTCAAGTCTACGAACTGAAATGTTTATTTTGACATTGCAGTCGAACGAGTTGCAATGAGAATTGAGAAATGAAAACTTTTAAAAACCTGAAGCTGTGCTTAATTCGACTATTTTGGATGAATAATCTCCACAACTACACAACTCACTAATTCAAAGTGAGCATATGGTAGCAGAATTGCTTGAACCATATCTGAAGAAACCAGTATTTTATTTTGCTTTCCCTGTTTTCTCACCTTTTTCAAAAGAATTATGCTATTTTAGCCGATTTCAATCTGGCCAAATTGATCACAAATGTGGCCATTTATATGTTTACAAGATTATTACTATAACCTATTCAACTTGCTCACACTCATGTTTTGATTTAGCCATCAATATTTATGATCAAATCAATCTGCTGGTTTCAGAAGGAGAAGGCTCCTGAGGAAGAGCCTGAGATTGATCCAGATGTGGCAGCCATGATGGGATTTGGAGGTTTCCGATCATCGTCGAAGAAATGATATGATCTTGGAACCAATTTATTGTAGATATTTCTCCATCTCCTGCAACTCAAGCTCAAACCCAGCATAGAAGTTCTAGGAAGAGAAGAGAAAAAAATCATTTTTGAATGGCTCTTCAGATTGATCTTATAGTGTTAAGAAAGCCAATGCATTTCTGTTCCTGATGATATTCAGTGGTCGCTTTGCCTTCACAAACATGGTTTACAAAGCATCAGAATTTTGTCTGTTTGGTGGTGCCAATTAGGAAGGTTTGTCTGTATGGTTATATTTATTGTGTGCGATCTTTGTTCTAAATACTGATTACTTTGTTTCATGTCATTATTCTTAAAAAACGAAAGAACATATTCTGATTAAAACTTTATTGTGATAGTTTTATAGCCACTAATTAATGTTATAATTTTTCGATAAGTTTTACAATGGTTATAGACTATCTAACGCAATTATTCATTTTTTTTCATCCAGGACTTGGGACATGACAATGGCAATGTTGAAGATGTTGTGCCTAATGATATTCCAAAAGAGAGATAGAAATGACTAAGAGATAAAATAATTTTTTATCTTACAAAAAGTTTTAATATTATTTTGAAAACAAATAAGATGTCAGATGAGTGGAGTATGTTAATTCTTATTTTTGAGAATAAAGGCGATGATGCACAAGAGTGTGCGAATTATAGAGGAATTAAGTTAATGTGTCATACATTAAAACAATGTGATAGAGTTATTGAACATAGGTTACTATGCGATATTAATGTTTCTCAAAGTCAATTTGGATATATGCCGGGCAAGTTTATTATGAAAGCTATATATTTATTGAGAGGTTAAGTATGGAGATAACAAAGAAGATTTAAAAATGATATTTATTAATTTGGAGAAAATATATGATAAAATTTCAACAGAAGTGTTCTGGAGAGTTTTAGAAAAAAAAAGAAATTAATAATGTTTATATTAAAGTCATTAATTATATGTATGTAGGAGTTATTGTGTTCAAATATAAAATGGTTTGACCAAAATTTTTTTTTTATTTAAGTTGATTACTTCAATGATCAACTTTAAGATAATATTTCTTTGCTTTAGTCATGGATGTTCATACTAGACATTTGCAAGAGGATGTACCTTGGTGTATGATTTTTGCTGATGATATTCTTCTTGTGGATAAGACTAGAGAGGGAATTGAAGGGAAACTTGAATTATGCAAGCCAATCTTAGAGTCTAAAGGTTTTTGTTTAAATTTAAAATTGAATACATTGAGTGTAATTTTAGTAATAATAGATATAGCAGGGGATTATTTTTATTTTGGGCGATCAAGTCATTAATAAGAGACATTTTAAATATCTTAGCTTTATTGTTCAAAGTGATGATGAAATAGATAGGGATATTCTTAATAGAATTTAAGTTGGTTGGTTGAAGTGGAGGAATGCATTGGGCTTGTTGAATGATAGAAGAATACCCCTTAAACTAAGGGAAAATTATATACGATAGGGGTGAGATGCCATGCCCCGGACGTTTTACCTTAGAATTTTAATTTTTTTTTCAAATAAATTTATTTCACATGTTTAAGTTATTACATGAGACATGTCATGCTTTTATGGCGCAGAATATTGTCCATTAAAAGAGAATCATAACTTAAGAAATTAGGTTAAGTGTTGTAGAGATGAGGATGCATAGGAGGATGAGTGACTTTACTCTTTGAGACATAATGCGAAATAGTATACAAGTGAAAATGTTGGAGTAGCTCTAGTGGCAGATAATATTAGAGAGAGTCGTCTAGATACTTTGGACACATTAAACGTTATCCTTCTGATGACTTGTTTAGGAGAGTAGGTATATTGGATTTGACCTATATTAAGAAAGATAAAAGTATGCCTAAAAATATATGACTTGGGAAAATATTAGAAATGGTACCTTTTAATTAAATTTAAATGAGAATTTGACTCTTAACATGACACAATAAAGAAAAAAAATGATTCATATAGCTGAACCTATCTAGTGGGATAAACCCTTGATGTTGTTGTTGTTGTAGGTTTATAGGCACTGAATTTATTTTGTACTTATTGTAATATATTATTAATAACTTTAAAATTATATTATATTCATCTTAAAATATAGTTATTTTTATTTATTCATAACCTAAAGTTTTATAATGTTGAATCCCATCCTCATCAAAAAATCGTCATCTTAAAAAAATATATATATATGCCATGGTATCATGATCTCTTTGACCTGAGGAATTGTAAGTAGCTAATGTCCTATATCTTTGGTGTGAGTAATGAACTACTTGAATGTTGACGGGTTTAAATGTTTATGAATAATTTCAAAATAAGCCTGATGATGGAAAATTTATTCTGTGCGGATATCGTACGTCGTTCGAAGGCCAATCAGAATGCGCCAAGTCACTTTTTGCTCGGTATCGACGCTAGGTACCGCTGTGTACTGGGCGACGTAGTGCCTTCTGATTGGCATCCAAACAGTTCGGTGTCTACATAGAATAGTTTCTCCTAATGAAGGTGGTCAACTGTGGCGGCAAACTACAGTAGCTGAAGATTACCTATATATCAAGAAAAAAACAGAAGGGTTGCTGAAGATTTGTAGCCCATCTTGTTCATTATGTAAATTATTTGACTCAAATAAGAATTTTAACTTATCATAACACTAAAATAATTATATAATAATGATATTGATTATTCTCCTTAAGTAAGTTTTAATGAGCTTACCAATAAATTACAACATTAATTAATTTGCCTAATTTAGGAGAATTTTTCAAACTAATATTTGAACTCTTACATAAAATTTTATTAATTTTTAAAGGTTTTGTTTGGGCACTTACTATTTCTTAAAGTAACTTTTCAGTACAAAAAATTAAAATTTTATATGAAAAGTTGCCTTAAGAAATTGTAAGAAAGCTATCCCAAAGGAAGCTTAAATTTATCTTCATATTTATATTAAGTAAATGCTACCAGTTTTAATTTAATGGTTGCAATTTTTTTACTCATGTTGCGGGCTAGAATATATGCAGCAGTAGAGTGAGGGTGCTTTTCATCTTAGCATTGCACGAATATCCAACACATAAGTTGAAAGGATAAAACACCAAGATTTTTAATATGGAAATCTTGGAAAAGTGAAAAAAACTATAGGGTCTGGCTTAGTTCAAATGGTTCCACTAATATTTGAATGAATTACAAAGCTTGATTTGTCATGGTCAAAGATTGTGAAATTATAATAGTAGAGAGAGTTAGGTGGAACTAATGCGTCAGTTGGTGGCCTAGCGGAAGTTCGACGTCGGTCGGTGGTTGGGCGGTGGCCCGACGATGGTCGAGGGGAGCTTGGTGGAAAGAGAGATATCAAATTTCTCTTTCCACTTCATCTTCTTTTCCTTCCTTTAACTTTGTGAATAATGAGTGGTCTATTTATAATTTTTTGAGAGTGACATGACTAATAAATAACGAGAAGATTAAAAATAGGTTGGGAGTGTTTCGGATGGACGACCGATATCGATTCCCTTGCTTTTGTACCGCTTATCACACATTTGAGTGTCTTCATGATATCAAAATTTGACGATCTTGAACTCATTGGATTCGTCTCGTCGAGCTGCTCGATTCAACTATAACAATGTCATATTTGAAAATTATTTGGTCATCCAACTTATGCTTTGAAGCATCCAGCTGCACTTCATACCCTCAATTTGGGCCCATTTGGGCTCATATTGGGTCGAATTTGGTGTCGTTGGGTTCGTTTTCGAAATGCTTGGTTCAACCATAAGTTTGTTGAAACTGAAGTTTGGATGTTCCCTAAATTAATCTCATAAGTTCCCAATTCAATTTTACATTTAGATTCGTGCTCAATCAAGATAATTTTTTTGATGATATGTCAACTCCCATATAAGATTTAAAGATTTAAAAATGCAAAACCTGACGTTCTTAGATGTATTTAAAATTAAATTCTCTTTAAAAAAATTTATTTTTGCAATTTCATATATATACATTCAATGATTATTAATTTCATCGTGATATAAGTTTTTAACATAATTCCCTGAGAAAATGAGTTAGGCTGAAGAAAGCACAAGGGCCAATGCCGACCCAATCGGCAACTTCCAAAATTCCCGGCGGCGCCGGAGCATGACCTCCATTGGCGACCAACTCGCCGCGGCCTGTCTCCGTCACGTTCTTCAACTCCTACACGACCGCACCGCTCGCCACCGCCTCCCCGAAATTCTCTCCCACGTCCTCCGCCGCCAGCTCCACCTCTTCTCCCCTTCCCTCCTCTCCACCCTCGCCGCCGCCTCCTCTTCCATCCGCCACCCCTACTTCGCCCGCCGTCTTCTCATCCTTTCCCCCAGCCCCGACCTCCCCCTCTTCAATGCCGCCATCAAATCCCTCTCCTTCTTCCCTTCCCACCAACCCTTCTTCCTCTTCTCTCTCCTCCGTTCCGCCGGCCTCAGACCCGACCGTCAAACCTTCGCCCCTCTCCTCAAATCTTGCTCCCTCCTCCCTTCCCTCCAACCGGGTACTGCCATCCACGCAACTGCCCTCCTCGCCGGTTTCAGCGACCATTCCGCGGTCGCCATCCAGCTCGTTGAACTGTACGCCCAATTCGGCTGCATGGCGGAGGCTTACAACGTGTTCGTGAAATTGCCGCATAGAGAAATCGTCGTATGGAACCTAATGATCAATGGTTTCTGCAAAAGAAACGATTTTGAATCTGCTTTCCATCTCTTTCGCCAAATGAGCAGCAGAAATATCGTCACATGGAATACAATCCTCGCTGGGGTTTCACGCGCAGGTTATGACAGTAAAGCGGTCGGGATGTTCTTGGAGATGTGGGAGTCCGGTATAGATCCGGATGATGCTACGGTTGTCACCATTCTTCCGATCTGTGCTCGAACGGGAAATTCAGATCTTGGTCGAAAAATTCACTTCTACGCCGAGAAGAAGGGTCTTTTGATCTCTGCTATAAACGTTGGGAACTCCCTCATCGATATGTACTCTAAATGCGCAGAATTGGAGAGCGCACGGAGGGTGTTTGATGAAATGCCGCAACGAAATGTTGTAACCTGGAACACGATGATCAATGGACTAGCCATCAACGGGCATGGCCTACTGGGATTGCAGGTGTTTGATGAAATGCTTGAGAGAGGTTTCCCGTCGCCAAATTCAAGCACATTTGTTAGTGTTCTTGGATGCTGTACTCATGCTGGGATGGTGGAGAGAGGCAAAGAGCTAATTCGAGCCATGCCGTCAGAGTACAAGATCAAGCCGAGACTCGAGCATTACGGGTGCTTGGTGGATCTATTGGGACGGTGCGGGCGGACGAGAGAGGCATTGGTGTTGATCAAAGGGATGCCAATGAAACCGACCGCGGAGATTTGGGGTGCATTGTTGAGTGCTTGCAGGAATAATGGTGATGCCGAGGTGGGGGAGAAGGCGGCGACGAAGTTGATGGAGGTTGAGCCAGAGAATTCTGGGAATTTTGTGCTTATGGCTAATTTGTACGCTGAGACTGGGAGGTGGGAGGAGGCTGAGAAGGTTTGGTCTGTGATGAGGGGAATAAGAGTTTGGAAGAATACAGCTCAAAGTGCTGTAGAGTTGGCTGCTGAGTTTTATCTGTTCAAATGAGCCAAAAAGATCCTGTAAAGTTCTCTGTTAATTCTGTTAAACCAGCCATGTTTGTAGCCCTTCATCAACTCTCTGTCGCCGGCTAACCTGGATGTCGGGCTTCGCGCAGTTGGTCGCCGGCACCTCTGGCCACCTGCTCCGACGGCTGCTTGCGCCTCCAACTGGAACTCTAGTGTTTGTGTTTAAGCTTTATAAACACCTATGTACCACGATGAGTTTCAATTATATTGCAAAAAATAGTTGATGTACCAAGTCCATAAATACATAAATACCTATGATAAAATACCACAATAGTTTAGATTGATAATGGCGCTTATATCCACCAATATGAATTCATATAAAGTATTATTTTATGATGATGCATTATTACATAATGTCCTATTGATATCACAAAAGAAAACCTATGAAATGACTTACAAAACACAATACCATTTGTGCGCCAATTTCTATTGATTGATTTGATGATCAAAATATAACAAAACAAATCCTAAAAACTATAAACTACAAGATGAAAAATATGGACTGATGAGAAGAACTGCCCTTTGTGAAAAGGTTGCAGCAGAGGTAGAGGCTTTTGTACCAACAAAGACTTCTTTTGGGATAGTTTTCTTATTACTTTTAAAAACAATTTTATAGTACAAAATTTTCAACTCAAAAAAATTTTTTTACTAAAAAATTACTTTAGAAATCAATAAAAAAATTGTCTCAAACGAAACCTAAATGTCATGACCATACAAAGCTACAATGAAGCTTAAATTCGACGAAGATGATTAGTAGACAGCTAGATTTTAATTTCTTCGTCAAGTTCTTCACCATTGTCGTCTTCTATTATTGTAGGTTTGTGAGGAAAATAAGATAAAATTATTGCAAAAACTATGACCTTCAAATTTTTTTTTAATATTATATGAGGCATTCGTTTCATAGGAAATACACAGAAAATCTCATAGAAAATCCAAAAACACCATAATGCAGATTCATAGCTAATCACTTCTGAGTTCTTTGAGCCTTTTTCAAGCACAACACAAGAGAGTAGAGATCATGAGATTTAAGCTTCGTTTAGGACAGCTTTTTTACTGCTTCTTAAAATAGCTTTTGAGTACAAAAAAATTTGTAATAAAAAGCTGTTTTAAGAATAAAATTTTTGTACTAAAAAGCTATTTTAAGTAGTAAGAAAGTTATCCCAAACGAAGCCCGAAGCCTCTACCTCCAATGCAAGATTTTCAAAAAAAATTATACTAAAAAACTGTTTTTAGAGACATTAAGAAAACCATCACAAATGAAACCTTATTTCGATATTTTGATATTCAATCATATCATAACATAATATATAAATGTTCAATTTGCAAATACTATAAAATATCAAAGATGGATAAGAGAATGACCAGCATGCTAGATCAAATCATAGCTAACATGGCCATACTCCGACATAAAAAACTTTCAGGGAAAAAGTCAGGAGATTAAAGAATATTTCTAATATTACATTCTACTTTACAGAGTCTTCATAATCCCAAACCTGTTAAATATGATTGACATTTGCATTATTCCAACATCAACTAAGAAATAAAATAACAAAACAGAGTTCATGCCATCATCATTAACTGAAACAAAGATAACTGAAGCAGCAATAAAAGATTTGACCAGTCTAATGTTCCTCACTCTATGTTCAACGGTTTTCACTTGATATACTGTGAGAGCCATTTGAATCCATCACCATAACCCATCTTACGGACGATACTGCACATGAAGACCTCGAGCGGTCGGACATTAGAATCGGTGAGGTTGACCTTGCCCTTGCCGGTGGTGAAGTTAGTAAGGCCCAGGTGGTAGCGTAGCTCCTCTTCGGATGCCGCATACGGTATGTCGATCTTGTTACCGAGGACGAGAAACGGGACGTTGGCTAAACTGTCGTCGGAAAGTAAGGCATCGAGCTCCTTTTTCGACTCTGCAAACCGTTCCTTGTCAACAGCATCTACCAGGTACACCACTGCATCCACCTGGAACCACCAAACTAGGTGAAATAAGGATTAGATGGAAAAAAAAAACTGAAGTTTCTTAAAAGAGAAATGTCTTTTTAGCAGAATTTTCAGCAGTAGTAAGCATAAAAATGTTTCTCCCTAAGCCATATAAGCATCAATAACGTTAAATTGATTATCAGTCTGAATTACATAGAGCTAGTTGAAGACATGATACCTATAGCAACCATAATAGTAACGTTAATGTTAACAATAATAAGATTACTGAGGGGGTAAGGCTGAGATCAAAAGAATGTCATATTAGAGATCATTCATTAGTAAAGGGAAGATAGTGAGATAATCGCATGTTTTCAATAATGCATAATTGCATATTACTTCATCTCTCAGTCAAGTATGCACCTTTTTCTGAAAAGCATACAATCACGTTTCATTCAAACAAACACAAACAAAAATGCAGCCAATTTGCAACCATTATTTTTCTATCGCAACTTCTAATTTGCAGGCAAAAAATAGATCACGAACCCTAATACACATGAAAATTATGTTTTTAGAAGATCAGAACATGTAGAAAACTTGATCTTGCATTTGCACAAGCTTACCTCTAGGAGTGCTGAAACGAAGAAGATTACAGCCTCTGTTAAGCCAAGTCATAAACTGTGGGTCGCAAAAGAAGACGCAAAGGATGGGAGAGCTCACAACTCTGATTGGAGGGGAGATGTTGGCTAGTGGGGATCATTGGTCACAGATGGTGAGGTGGGCAAGGTCAAGATGTTATAAGGAGGAAAAATTGCCAATTGAGAGTTGCTGGTTAGGGTGGTTGGTCACTCATCTTAATTGTCAATGGTTGGTTGTTGCAAGGAGAGGAGAGGCGATAACGATGATTGGGGATTTAGGGGGAAAAATGAGGGAATAAATAGAAATGAGGACAGAGATTGTGATTTATTTTGTGATTTTGAGATTGCTCATACCCGGCTGTAATCCCCTAGAAAAAACGGCTGGTTAAGTATGGTTTCAAATCCTGTTCCAAACTCAACCAATTAGGGCCAGTCTCAACGAACATTCGCAAAACCAGACTCAAAATGCAATTATTGTTTTAGTGAAAATGCATTCATCCTATATTGAAAGGTATACATAAAAACTTATTTGCACGGGCACACTAGCATAAACATGCTTGTGGGCTCCAAAAATTTGGCTCTTGGGTGCCCCGACCTATCCATGTGATTCGAGGAGAGTTTTAGCGAATTAAATTTTGGGAGAAATTTTAGAAGCCAAATTAGGTAGACCTAAGACACTACCCAGAGATTTCATCCTCATTAGTAAGGATTTTAAATATGAGTTCATGTTTCCTATAGGCGCAAGCCCCTATGATTAATTACTTTTCCCGGTGATGAGAACACTTATGATAAAGGCTAGTCGTTACATAGGCACTTAATATCTGGCGTATAGTAGCAACATATCTAGATGTTTGAAATTATAAATATAGCACCTTATGCTTAAAGCAAATGGTGAGGGGAATAATAATGAACCCGATCAAAATCCCATAATTCTATTGTCCTGGGTTGTTATGCTCCTTAGTCTACTTAGTCGGAGGAGATAGTCAACCCAACCCGATCGAAGAATTCTCATTAGCAGACATCAATTGCTTCATACAAGAGTAATTTGTAGACCAGGGTTGAAATTTGCTAAGGAACAAAGTTAAATCAATCTTAGCAAACAGAGGGCTTCATATGTTATTGATTATACCTTATGATTCATTATTCAAATGCATTAGCCATTAGATAGTACATGTGGATCAAGTCGTGATTGTAATATAGTGGAGCAGTTGGACCAAACCACACGATTAGAGGACTTTGATCATAGTAGTTTATCATGTGAAGCCATTGGGCCAAACTACGGATTAAAGGACCCTAGTCATAACCATTTACCACATGAACTGTTGGGCCAAACCATTGATTTTGTGGAGATGTTGGGCCAAATCACCAATTTTCTAGAGCAGTGGGCCAAAACAACAATTAGAAGATACTTGTCACATCATTACTGACCGGAGATTATTTGAAAATGAATATTAATGATATTTTAGATTGGATATTCACTTTTTGTAAGCTGAAGTTATTTTTGAATTCATCGCTCTTGCTATTGTGGACTGTGGATGAATTTTTGCTTTAAGTTTCAAGTGATTAAATTTCACTTTAAATATTGAAATTTTGATAGAAATTGAGAATTGACCCATTTTGTTGAGATTTACTTTCAACACGACCATCATCGAAGATGACATTGAAGTCACACTTACCATGTCCTTAAAACCATGAAATTACTTGAGAATAAATCTTATGGTATTCTCGATTGAACCTTCACTCTTTGTGAGCAAAAATTGTTCTTGAATTCATCTCCCCAGCTAAATGGTTATGGAGTGTGGATGAATATTTACTTTAAGTTTTATGTGATTAAATTTCATTTTAAATATTAAAATTTTAATAAATTAGAAATTTTAAAATTTTGGTAGAATTTAAGAATTGATCCCTCCTGTTAAAATTTGCTTTCAGCATGGCTTTCATTAGAAATAACATTGAAGTCATTCAAAAATATTTTGTATTTGATTGGAGTTTTGGTGAATTTAAAATATATGGTCTCCTTCGATTGAGATTTAATTACATTATTTTTTAAATAATTTGCATTTTTTGTTATTCCAACATTGTCAACTCTGCTCACTTGCTAGCACAAGATTGGATTCGAACTAAGTGCATGCGATATTTTGATGATACCTCAAGTTGAGATTTACCTTCAACACGGCCATCATCAAGGTTTTAAACAATTCAAATTTTTGCTATTTGAGCCTTGTCAACTTTAGATTTGACTTATGTTAAGAAAGGTAAAGATAGACCTAAAAAGACTAGGTTATAAAATATTTGAAATGATCTTTCTTTATTAGATTTAAACAAGAATTTGATTTTTAACATGACACAATGAAGAAAAAGGATTCTTGTAGCCGAACCCACGTAGTGGGACAAAGGCTTGACGTTCTTGTTGAGCCTTGTCAACTTTATTTGTCCACTAACAAATAAATGAGTTCAAATATTAATTTTTTGCAAATTTATCATAGGAACATTAATATTGAGAGCTTGTATTTTATAATGAATATTTTTTAAATAAGCTTTGAAGGCATAATGTGAACTCAAAATCAAATATCTAGGTGAATTATATGATTGTGCGCTTTCTTATTAATCTAAATCATGTCAACTCTAGTCATTTCAAGAATAATGATTGAACTTAAAATTTAAATTCTTATTTAACCCACAAAGCATTCTTGGACATAGGATTTAGGAGTTTGGTGCGAAGGTTGCAACACGTGGATACTTTAAAACTTGTGGTAATTGATGTCTGCATTTTTCAGTGCGTTTGCACCATGCACTTGCATGAATTTTGATGCACTCACATAATGTGTATGCATGCTTTCAATGTATTGGTATGCTTTTTTGGTGCATTTACGTGATGCACATGCATGCATTTTGATACATTTGCATAGCATGTTCACGTGCTTTTAATTTACTTGCACAATTTTGGGTGCTTGTGCAATGCACTTGCACTCATTTCGAGCACTTGCATGGCATGTTTGCATGCTTTCACTTTGCTCACACGCTTTTCAATGTAGTATATTTCATTGGATTTGTTGCACACTTCTTGAAGACACTCTTGAGTTTGAAGATTTGCATTTTAAGACTTGTGAGTTTTTAAAAATATTTAAATTTGAGCACTTGTGCAAATATTTATTGTTGGAAAGCACACAATATTTCATTTTAAAAGCTAAAGTATGTTTTCTATCAGCTTGTATGTGTGTTATGAATCCGGTGGCATATGTTGAAGGCGAGTTAGAAACCTCTTTCATATTTTTAGTATTGCTAAAATTTCCTTTTTAGATAGTTGTAAAATTAGTGCTCGGTTGGAGTAAGGCATTCCTAATCTCGCACATAGGCTAGATACCTTTTCGCTACAAGTCCCTTATTCCTTGCCCATAGGCGAGTTGCATTGTGCATTGCAAGTCATGGGCTAGTGTTCGAGCAATGTCTTTTATTTTGCAAATTTTATGTTATGTTCCTTGCTTGTTCATTCAATCCAAATTTTAGCAACCTTCCAACATCCTCCCCATGTAAAGGGCATCCACGGGGAGTGTTGGGTTTGTAAACCACGCTACGAAAAGTATGTATGATAGATGTCAGGTGACACTGATCGATATCTTTAATCCCATTGCACTATGATAAGCACGTATGGTTCTTCAAGTACCAACTTGAAATTATTTAAATTATCATTTTTCTCATTTGTTTTTTGTATTTTAAGTCCCTACTAGAAAATGTGGCAGCCTCCTAACATATCCTCCCAGCATATGGAGGCATCATCAGAAGTGTTGGGTCTACCCACCACGTTATGAAAAACATGTATGGTCAGTGTTAAGCAACACCACAACCGATATTTTTAATCTAACCACACTAAGAAAAATGTATATGGAACTTAGGGTGCCTATTTGAAGACTTGCAAGCTTTACTAGCCACGCTACAAAAAACGTATATATGTACTTAAAATCCTCCCGCCATGCTATGAAAAACATGTATATGGCTTGTCTATTTTATTGTGAACGTCGCATACGAGTTTTCTTCCACCGTGTTAGGAAAAGCGATTATAGGTGGTGATGACGATGAGGATGAGCACGACACAATTTTTTGAATTCGCCCTTTTTTATTTTCGCTTTTCTGATTTGTGAGAGAGAGCATGTCAGTTTCGATGTGTATGGGGGGAATAAATAGAGAGGGGTCGTGATGTGATGCAAGGATGGAGTTACACAAGAGTTAAAAGAGAATTAAATTCTAGCTTAACCAATTATATAATCGTGTATCAAAGTTAAGTCGATTACAAGAAATTCATGATGTTCAACTTGCTAGGCAAAGAAATTTCAACAAGATAGCCAAACTATTTAAACAAACGTAAAGGAAAACATAAAGCTAAGGCTAGTAAATAAAAATCCCACAATT